TCTTATCTCCAACAAACCTCTTGTTTCCTCCCTGAACAGTTTTGCCTTTAAAGCTTGCCACCATTGCCCCCTCACTTGAATCCTCTTGTCTCAACAACCTCCTTTGCTCTTAAGCTTATAGAGCATGTACCAGTTCAGTGAGTGAGATCTATGACAGATCTTTAGAGTCCTCAAGTGATGAAATCTTGTTCTCAAACCTCTCGGGTAGGCTCACCAATACTTTCTCCAAAATTCTTTTGTTTGTCATTTCCTCACCCAACAATCTGATTTTATTCACCACATTCATCAACGTATCCACATACTCCTTTACTGATTATAATTCTTCCATCTTCAGCATCTTAAACTCCCTTCTTAAGTTCAATACATGCATATTTCTAGTTGTATCACTACCACCAAACTCCTTCTTGAGCTTGTACCATGCTTCCTTGGCTGTTTCATACACCATGATTCTGGTGAAAACAAGTTCAGTTACAGCTGCATGAATATGAGACAAAGCTCTAGAAGCTTTAGTAGCTTCCTCCTCATGAAGCCTGATTTGATTCAACGTGGGGTTTGGCCCCAATGCAAGTGGTTGCTTGTTCTCTTCAACATACTGCCACAAACCTTGTTCCCTTAAGAAGGTATTCATTTTGACAGCCCACATGTGGTATTGTTCACCATTGAAGACTGGAGGAGTAAGGGAAGCCGTGTGTTGTGCCATTGGATCAAGTTATTTGGAGTTTGACAAAAAGTTTTATCGTAACAGAGGTTGAGAAGTTGGATAGGAGGAGATGAGTGTATCAAGCCCTTTAAGATCAATTACAGCTTTGATACCAATTGTTGGTTCTACTCGAGAGTGATGAAGAAGAGAGATTAAGTAAAAGGAAAGAGACGGCATGCATGAAATGTGTGCTCTATTTTCCATTCATAAAACAGGGATAATATATACAAAACTAGTCCACTGTTCCACCTAAAGCAACCTAATGCAGTGGATATTTTTAGACATTTGAATTTGAAATAAAACTTACAACTAAAGCATGTCTTAATCACAACTGAACCCAACTAAACATGTCACAAAACTTCACAATAATTCATCAAAAACAGTAGCTTCAACCACTGCACCTGTAATAGCAACTTGAACACTTGGTGCCAAAAAACAGTTTGAAACTTTAGCTGAATTTTTCTACATTTCCAGCAAATTATCACCATCTTCAACAGTAACACGAAACAAGCGACAGATGTTTAAATAATCAAATGATGATTTCTCAAGGAAATGAAAAGAATGAAAACAAATATTACAAGACAACCAACACTTTTAAAAAATTGCATTTAATTGAGCACTCACCGACAAACTATAACACTTCAATTCGGCAATCTCACTTGTCAGTGACCTGAAGAGTGGGCTTGCAATTCATTTGAGATCATTAAATTTCATGAAAATCTCATCCACATTCATGAACCCACTTTGTGCCTTTAACACAGAGAAGATAAGCTAAGGGACCAACTTTTAATGCAACGACGCTAATGGTTTGCAAAATATCCATCTGTTGTTGATGTTTTTCTAAAGTAGGAGAGGGGACAAAGCCAAACCTTAACCTAATTAATAGTAACACAAAAAATACTCTATATTTACAAGCCTAGAGTAATCGTACATGGCCCATCTTGCACGCAACTACGCATACCTCTTATCCAAAAAGATATATCATTGCAGTGTAATTAATTATGATTATTTTTTTTAATGACCAGGGATGTCTAAACCAGTTTTCGCACACCTTAATTAATCTTTCGGGATTCTGAAACTACTGATCGGATAAAAGCTCCAATAGTTATCCCTATTAGTAACCGTAGAGACTCGAACTCAGGAGAGCGTATTAGATCTTCCTTTTACTCTTTTACCCTCAAGGGGATTCGAATTTAAGAAACCGTGTTAGATCCTCCTCTTAAGAGACTATAAAATCTTAGATAACTAAATTGAAAGTTTAAAACTAAAAGGAAATCCTTACAAATAATCTTAAGAACATAATATAGTTAATATAATATAACATAATATAATATAATATAATATATATATTAAAATAGTTACCAATATTTTGAAGAAAAAATAACAATAAATTTATATATGAAGCAATTAAAATGTTACGGTTTGTATTGGTTATAACGTGATATATTCTATTGTAAGTCTTCTTTCTCTATTAAATTGTCTTTTTTTTTTTTTTTTTTTTTTTTTTTTTTTGAATAACATAAAAAAAATGGGTTTATGAGATAATAGTGGGGTGTCAAAAATATTTGTAAAGAATATGAAATAAAAATTAATTTTAATAATTGCTTAATGACACTTTCCCATTCACAGACTTCTAAAATACTACTTTACTATCCAAATTTATATTCTGTTTTCGATTCCAACATCGTTGCAATCCAATACCACCATCATTTTCTTCCTCGATCATCACTTATAAGAACCCCTCAAACCCTACTTCCGTCGACTGCACCAATTGCTAGAAATCGGGCGATTAAGGTTTGCGTAGCCTCATTTTCTAAGTCAAATTTCGATCAATCTCAATTACCAAAATTCAACATTCCACCATCAAAAGACTCATCATTCTCCCCTCTTCAAAAGCTCTAGCAATCTGGATTGAGATTTGAGTAATAAAATGGTATTTTAAAAGTCTATGGGTAGAAAATGTGGTCAACTCTTAAAAAAATGGGGCTTCTTTAATCCATTAGTGGAGTGTAAATAGATTCACTGAATATATGTAACTCCTTTCAATTTTTGGCTATGTCCAGTCAATTCCTACTCAAATTAGCTTAGCCCCATTCTAGAAGTAAGGTAGTTGTCATTTAATTAAAACATTACATGTGATTAAGTGAATTTATGATATAATATATCTCAAAAATATAAAATAAAAAAATTTGAGTGGTTCATTATAGTTTGAATTGATTTAATGTACTGACACGTGTCAATTATCGATATGTGGTTAGAATTACTTTTCTATTCTATTATTCATTTATACTATGGAGAAAATCGTTAATATTTGATTTCAGTCATATGAAAAACTTTTACCATCCAAAAAATAATAATGTATCATTATATGATGGAAGATGACATAAATTTGAAACTTAAGCCCAACCCAAACTTTAATATATGGGCCTGAATAAAATAAGTTGAAACTGGGGCTGTGGCCCAATAGCCCAATCCAGGCCGCTCGAGTTAGTATATAAGAGGATACACTCTTTACAAGAAAAGCTCCAACTATGAACTATATTACTGTATGCTCTTTGATTATATCTGACTAAACATCAAATCGACTCTCAATATGGACGCGTGTCGCCATCTTGACGGTAATGTTAGTACAAGCAGCACAGAGGCGACCTAGCTGCAGAACTCATCAGACTTCAGTAAGACTAGGACCTGCTATCAAAACCAGCCCCAGTTTTGACTCTGACCAAAAACCCAACCAAACCCACCACCACCGACTCTACCATTCTGATTTTGGTCAAGAAAGCAACAGTAAATTTACTGGGAAATAGTGGTTATCAACATCAATTGGACAAGCAAAACCCTTTTTACACATTCACATTTACTGCTCAATTATCAAAAGGTCTCTGCCCAAACATAAATAAAGTGACCGAAAGGTAAAATTTGAACCCAAAATTTGTTTTTAAAATTGGCTGAGCCTAGCCTTTTGGTCCACCCTTTTTTTTTTTTTTTTAGGGGAATGGACCTGGACTTGATGCATTTAAGTCACCAACATAAATGGGGTTAGGGTTATTTACCATAATATTAACTTTGGATTGACCCACTCCTGAGAAAAGGAATAATACTAAGCTTGATTTCAGGGGTACGTTCATCATCAAATTTAGCTTTAAATCAGAATATAACACAACTGTGATGTCACCTTCAAGTCCTCAAAATATTCAGTTCTCAAAACCCACCTAACACAGACAACTTACATTTATAATCGAGTAGAATTTCTATAAACAGCTTGGAGCTTCAGCTTATAAGAATAGGTAAATAATAACTACTATTGATAAGAATGGATAAATAATAACTACTATTGGATGGTCGAGTGATCAATTAAGATTTTTAAATATATTACTCAAAAGGTAATGAGCTCGATTCACTTTGACTACTAATAGAGGTGACTACAGCCACTAAAACTCTTACTCAATTGATTTAATCAATAATTCTAAAATCTCGAAAGATTAATTAAAATGTATGAACGTTAAAAACGTTTTGCATGCATGGTATCACCATCGTAATAATAATATTCTTTGGTTATGGTTATACCGTTCATGGTAGACAAAGGTAGAGTTAGTACTATTAAATAAAGAAATTAGCATAAAAGATTCATTTATGGAAGGTCAATCTACCCTTTGAATGAAGAATATTTTATTTTTAAAGTTTATGACCTAACTTAACTACTGGATTCTAATTTTTTGAGAACCCCTTTTAGTATTTTCATACCAAACTCTCTACTTCCCCTCCCATGTATTCAATGGAACCCACATCTCCTAAACTTAATTTATATTTCAATGTCATCTAACTAATTTTATTTATGTAATTATCAAAATATTAAATTGATTATCTACCTGAATTTATGATATTACAATTGCCAACTAAATTATCTTTAAAAATTTAATGATATCAACCCTTAGATGGTTGAGTAGTTCGATATGGACTATCAGCTATATTACTCAAAAAGTTATGAATTCAAGTTACTCCTTAATAATTAATAGAAGTGGTCACTGGAGCTCTTATCTGACTGATATTCTGGGTCGTAAGAGATTAGTTGCTGACCTGAACACCCCAATCATTAAAAAAAAAAAAATTGTGATCTCTTTGTAATTTTATTAAACATGAGGGGGGAGTTAAATTTTAACAAATTTGTCATTTATTGATTGGATATACACTACAGTCCAAAATTGGAATCCCATTCTCGTAATTAAGGGAAAATCAGAATGGCAAAATCAGAATTCAGACAGGAGAAAAAGAAGAAAGCGAAGAGAACGGAAAGTAGACAGAGAAAGAGAGAGAGAGGAAAAAAAAAAAAAAACAAAACAAGAAATAGAGGAGCTGTAATCACATGGGCTGCTTGTCTCTCCCTGGGTCCTCCTCCATCTCCCATCTCCATCTTCATCTTCTTCTCATTCGCTTCATACTTTCTCTTTCTTTCTCTCTCTCCATTGCCATGATCACCAACCGCTTCTCCTTCATCCTCCTCCGTTGAATTCAAACCCCCTCCTCTCTCTCTCTCTCTCTCTCCCTCTTTCTATTTCTTATCTTAATCTCATTTTCTCTCCATGGCTGACGACAAGGTATCTCATTTCTTCTTCAATTTTTCATCTCACTCTCCGCATTTGACCAACCTGATAGAAAGATTTATTTATTTCTTTGTTTCTAATTTTGTTATAAGTTTTATATGGTTTTTCCTTTTGTCGTTTTGGAGCTGAAATGAGTGGAATTTTTTAAGGATTTTAGTTTGCTTTGAATTAGGTTTTTTTTTAGTTTGACATGTATGGTTTTTAAGGGAGCGATCTAGCTCTGGGAGCTTGTAAAATGATTGCTTTTATGTTTCTTGTGTTTAACTTTTCTGGATCTTAGATCTGTTTCTGTCTATGTAGTTGCGGTTAATTTTTCATTTCCCTTTTTGGGAGCTTAATTATGGTAATTAATTGTGTTCCTTGATCTGTGATTTGAGATGCTTTTGAGTTTTATTTGCATCAAGTGATTTTCTTTTTCTAAACCTTGATCATTTAAATCATACTTACGTTAAATGTTTCTGTTATTTGTTTTTTTTTTTTATTTAGTATATTGTATATACTCTTGTAAAATCCAGCAGAATTTTGATGTGGATGAAAATGTTTTTGCAGGAAATGTCTGCCCCTGTTGTGGATTCAAATGATCCAGTCACCGGTCATATCATATCTACCACCATTGGAGGAAAAAATGGCGAGCCTAAACAGGTTAAGCTATTATCAATTTTTTGCTTAATTTACCTGTTTTCAGTTATTTCTTTAGCTGAAAATTCATTTATTGTTAACCAGATTTGGCTTTGTAACCGACCTCCGAACTGAATCTTTCTTTTTTCTTTTTATACTGAAATTGAAGTTTATGTTTATGGTTTGTTGCATCTTCAGACCATCAGCTACATGGCAGAGCGTGTTGTGGGAACTGGGTCATTTGGAATTGTTTTCCAGGTAAGGACACGTTGTATTTGTAAGAAATGTATAAATTTTTATTGGTGCTGTTTCTGTTCTAATAGTATTTGATTTTTCTTAGGCAAAATGCTTGGAAACTGGGGAGACTGTTGCGATAAAGAAGGTTTTGCAGGACAGAAGATACAAGAATCGTGAATTACAATTAATGCGTGTAATGGATCATCCAAATGTGATTTCTTTGAAGCATTGCTTCTTTTCAACTACCAGTAGAAATGAACTTTTCCTCAACTTGGTTATGGAATATGTACCTGAGAGCATGTACAAGGTTTTAAAGCATTACAGCAGTTCCAATCAGAGAATGCCCCTCATCTATGTAAAACTTTACATGTATCAGGTATGTAAGGTGCTCTCTGATGAGGTTAATTTGTTGCCATACGTACATCCTTATGACAATTAGGGGATGTCTTTCAGATTTTCAGAGGACTGGCATATATTCACACTGTTCCTGGAGTTTGCCACAGGGATTTGAAGCCTCAAAACCTTTTGGTATGCTTCTCCCACTATGAAGTTGCAAAAGGAAGTTGGTTTACTATTATTATTATTATTATTATTTTGGCCTCTTCTCTGAAGTCATTTTTGTGTCAATAGGTTGATCCTCTAACACACCAGGTTAAAATTTGCGATTTTGGAAGTGCAAAACAGCTGGTATATTGATCCCTCCTTTCTACAATTTAATTAGGCCGTAACTGATGTTATACTTGATTGATTTCATATGCATGACATGTTTAGTTCAGAATTTGTTTCAAGGTATTTGCTTTCTAATACTAGGTAATGTTATCATCTTGGGCAATGACAACTCCCATAGAATGATTTTGCAATATGCATATTTCTGCTGAACTTGCATTGCATCACTTTTCTGATGCCCTGGTTTCACTATCTCAGAAACCTAATGCAATCTTTGGCTATGCTGCAGTGAGAAGTCATACACATTATTGAATGGATTGTCAATGTCAAAATGACCTAAGTAATGGTGGGGAACAATGGCATTTATTTTATTCTCTTGTTGGATAAGAACCTCCTTGCCACCGTCATGTGTTAAAGTCATAGAAGTTTTCACCTACATTAATTTGTCTGATTGTGTATCTTTCTTCTCTTTTTTGTCGTTTGCTTGTGAAATTTAGTGGCATATTAGTCGGTCATCTTATTTTCATTATTTATGATTCTCAAGTGACATGTCCGTATAGGCTGTGTAAATAATCAGTTAATTACTTTTCTCCTTTCCACTTTAAGAAGAGGGTGATGGTAGTATCAGTTGGGTGCCTCTTCGTCTATTCTTTGATTTCATGTTGTTTTGATTTCTCTCTCCTCTCAATTGGAAGAAAAACTAATGTTCTATATCAAATTTGTCGACAATGGTGATCTTTGACAGTTGATGAGGACATATTTGATTCTTAAGGTTCAATTTTAAGGTCCCTGCTTGGTTAAGCTGGAAGAAAAGTCTTGTATAGGTATAGTTGCTAATAGTTTGACATGAGTGGTTTCCAGATGTTGGCACCATCTGTCGTGAAGATGAAATATTTGATTGTACATGTGCAAGCACAATTCTGGAAAATAGTATTCTATTGACCGATCCTGTTATTTTTGTGCTTGTTTTCAGTAGAATTTTCATGCAGTAACCATTAAACTACTTGTGATCAGGTCAACGGCGAAGCTAACATTTCATACATATGTTCACGTTTCTATCGAGCTCCAGAACTCATATTTGGTGCTACAGAATATACAACCTCAATTGACATCTGGTCAGCTGGTTGTGTGCTTGCAGAACTTCTTTTGGGGCAGGTTAGCAATTTTGATACCATTTTCTAAGTTCTGAAAAGTTACCAGTTACCACTTCTTAATTGTCTAGTGAAGCTGCTGTGTTTGGCTGACTTAATAATTTTGAGCTTTTTGTAGCCACTGTTTCCTGGAGAAAATGCTGTGGGCCAGCTTGTAGAGATTATCAAGGTACATTTTGCTCATTAGTATTTGAAATGGTGCAATTTTATAATCATATGCCAACACCCTACATTTTATCCTACAGGTTCTTGGTACACCCACTCGTGAAGAAATTCGCTGTATGAATCCCAATTATACTGATTTTAGGTTTCCACAGATTAAAGCTCATCCTTGGCACAAGGTTTGCTTTTTATGATCCTTTTGATATTAAGTGGGTCATTGAATTTTGGAGATTGGCATTTTTGTTTCAGTGTATCCATTTACATATTTCTTCTTGTATTTTAGGTTTTCCATAAACGGATGCCTCCAGAGGCAATTGATCTGGCATCTCGACTGCTTCAATATTCACCGAGTCTTAGATGCACTGCGGTGAGTTTAATCACATTTTGTCTGAATGGATATGCCCGTGGGAGCTCAAGAGGAGCTCATATTTTTCAGTACTTGATTCCTAAAGTTGTATTTTGCAAAAGATTTTTCTCTTTAAGTAAGATTTTTCCTGCTTAATAACTATTCTGATTAGATATGCCTTTGTTATTGCAGCTAGAAGCATGTGCACATCCTTTCTTTGATGAGCTGCGCGAACCCAATGCGCGCCTACCAAATGGTCGCCCTCTACCTCCTTTATTCAACTTTAAGCACGAAGTATGTTTCTAACCTTTTTAACATATTTATCTTTATTTTGTTTTTGAGCATGATCTCTCTGTTAATATAATGACGCTCAAAGGCACAAAAAATATTTCTTGGTTTCATTGTGAACAGTTTTCTGTTTATGTCATTTTTCAATGAAGAAGTTCACGATGAAGCTAATGCTAGATGCTTATCAATTGTTTTATTCTTATTACAGTTATCTGGGGCATCTACGGAGCTTGTTAATAAGCTGATACCAGACCATGTGAAACGGCAATTAGGTCTAAATTTCTTACATCTTGCTGGGACTTAGATTCAGTAAAGTGGAAGTGACGTCTACTTGTTGATGTGTGACACGAAGGGAATTCTATCCTTGTGTTTAGCTACCATGCATTGAGGCTTGACCAGCATCATTTCTTGCTCTACCACTACCAGGCAGTCTCGGGCAGCAGCTGGATGGCCGCCCTTCTTGGTGCTTTCTTTTCTACTTTCACCCCAACCACCCTTGCCTCTCCCCCTTTTCTCTTCTTCCATCCCTTTTATTCTGTCAAAGTGCCCATTTGTTTATGTACATGTTTGATAGTAAAAGATAGGCTAAGGTGATAAGGTGGACTGATCAGAAAGCAGCTGCTAGTAGAGGGGAAAAAAAAAAACTGAGGAGAATTGTATTTGTAGCTAGGAGGAAAAAAAAAAAAAAAAAGCCCCTAATATAATGGCCCGAAGAAAAGGGGTTGGGCATGTTGTTTGTTGTCAGGTTTGGTTCTTCATGTCATTTGGTTTTTTGTTGTGGTTTGTGATGACTTGACTTCCAATTGCAGACAATTGTTGTCACCTGCTGTTTGTGCAAAGTAATGTTATTACAATATGCTTTATCCTTGCTAAATCTCTCGCGTTTTATTTTTCAAGTTTCATCGTTTCGTTTCAACAATCTCTGATTTTATGGGTAACCGGAATGTTTGGGTCAATTTGAGCGTATCTGATATCTTAATTAATAATGGTCGGTTCACTGGGTACCTTCAAACCTAACTTGACGAATTTTCTGCACAAAGAGCGTTAATAATGTGGAAACTGATTATGCGATTAACATAGTGATTGGAATTGTTGTTGATATCAATAAATAAGTAAAATGTAATTATTGCTCATGATTCGTCAAAAGAAAATACTCCTAAAGCATTCCACACAGTTATCATTGCGTTCTTCCTTTTTCAACTTTTTGAATGACGGCAGCTCATTTATTCAACCTATATTATGCTTATTGCCGGTGACTGGTGAGACTCTTTATTCAACCAAAAAGAATAATTGGATTATTTGCACTTTCATCCTTTATGGTTGGGAGAATATTATATTTACCTTTCACTCTTGTAAAATCCAGCAGAATTTTGATGTGGATGAAAATGTTTTTGCAGGAAATGTCTGCCCCTGTTGTGGATTCAAATGATCCAGTCACCGGTCATATCATATCTACCACCATTGGAGGAAAAAATGGCGAGCCTAAACAGGTTAAGCTATTATCAATTTTTTGCTTAATTTACCTGTTTTCAGTTATTTCTTTAGCTGAAAGTTCATTTATTGTTAACCAGATTTGGCTTTGTAACCGACCTCCGAACTGAATCTTTCTTTTTTCTTTTTATACTGAAATTGAAGTTTATGTTTATGGTTTGTTGCATCTTCAGACCATCAGCTACATGGCAGAGCGTGTTGTGGGAACTGGGTCATTTGGAATTGTTTTCCAGGTAAGGACACGTTGTATTTGTAAGAAATGTATAAATTTTTATTGGTGCTGTTTCTGTTCTAATAGTATTTGATTTTTCTTAGGCAAAATGCTTGGAAACTGGGGAGACTGTTGCGATAAAGAAGGTTTTGCAGGACAGAAGATACAAGAATCGTGAATTACAATTAATGCGTGTAATGGATCATCCAAATGTGATTTCTTTGAAGCATTGCTTCTTTTCAACTACCAGTAGAAATGAACTTTTCCTCAACTTGGTTATGGAATATGTACCTGAGAGCATGTACAAGGTTTTAAAGCATTACAGCAGTTCCAATCAGAGAATGCCCCTCATCTATGTAAAACTTTACATGTATCAGGTATGTAAGGTGCTCTCTGATGAGGTTAATTTGTTGCCATACGTACATCCTTATGACAATTAGGGGATGTCTTTCAGATTTTCAGAGGACTGGCATATATTCACACTGTTCCTGGAGTTTGCCACAGGGATTTGAAGCCTCAAAACCTTTTGGTATGCTTCTCCCACTATGAAGTTGCAAAAGGAAGTTGGTTTACTATTATTATTATTATTATTATTTTGGCCTCTTCTCTGAAGTCATTTTTGTGTCAATAGGTTGATCCTCTAACACACCAGGTTAAAATTTGCGATTTTGGAAGTGCAAAACAGCTGGTATATTGATCCCTCCTTTCTACAATTTAATTAGGCCGTAACTGATGTTATACTTGATTGATTTCATATGCATGACATGTTTAGTTCAGAATTTGTTTCAAGGTATTTGCTTTCTAATACTAGGTAATGTTATCATCTTGGGCAATGACAACTCCCATAGAATGATTTTGCAATATGCATATTTCTGCTGAACTTGCATTGCATCACTTTTCTGATGCCCTGGTTTCACTATCTCAGAAACCTAATGCAATCTTTGGCTATGCTGCAGTGAGAAGTCATACACATTATTGAATGGATTGTCAATGTCAAAATGACCTAAGTAATGGTGGGGAACAATGGCATTTATTTTATTCTCTTGTTGGATAAGAACCTCCTTGCCACCGTCATGTGTTAAAGTCATAGAAGTTTTCACCTACATTAATTTGTCTGATTGTGTATCTTTCTTCTCTTTTTTGTCGTTTGCTTGTGAAATTTAGTGGCATATTAGTCGGTCATCTTATTTTCATTATTTATGATTCTCAAGTGACATGTCCGTATAGGCTGTGTAAATAATCAGTTAATTACTTTTCTCCTTTCCACTTTAAGAAGAGGGTGATGGTAGTATCAGTTGGGTGCCTCTTCGTCTATTCTTTGATTTCATGTTGTTTTGATTTCTCTCTCCTCTCAATTGGAAGAAAAACTAATGTTCTATATCAAATTTGTCGACAATGGTGATCTTTGACAGTTGATGAGGACATATTTGATTCTTAAGGTTCAATTTTAAGGTCCCTGCTTGGTTAAGCTGGAAGAAAAGTCTTGTATAGGTATAGTTGCTAATAGTTTGACATGAGTGGTTTCCAGATGTTGGCACCATCTGTCGTGAAGATGAAATATTTGATTGTACATGTGCAAGCACAATTCTGGAAAATAGTATTCTATTGACCGATCCTGTTATTTTTGTGCTTGTTTTCAGTAGAATTTTCATGCAGTAACCATTAAACTACTTGTGATCAGGTCAACGGCGAAGCTAACATTTCATACATATGTTCACGTTTCTATCGAGCTCCAGAACTCATATTTGGTGCTACAGAATATACAACCTCAATTGACATCTGGTCAGCTGGTTGTGTGCTTGCAGAACTTCTTTTGGGGCAGGTTAGCAATTTTGATACCATTTTCTAAGTTCTGAAAAGTTACCAGTTACCACTTCTTAATTGTCTAGTGAAGCTGCTGTGTTTGGCTGACTTAATAATTTTGAGCTTTTTGTAGCCACTGTTTCCTGGAGAAAATGCTGTGGGCCAGCTTGTAGAGATTATCAAGGTACATTTTGCTCATTAGTATTTGAAATGGTGCAATTTTATAATCATATGCCAACACCCTACATTTTATCCTACAGGTTCTTGGTACACCCACTCGTGAAGAAATTCGCTGTATGAATCCCAATTATACTGATTTTAGGTTTCCACAGATTAAAGCTCATCCTTGGCACAAGGTTTGCTTTTTATGATCCTTTTGATATTAAGTGGGTCATTGAATTTTGGAGATTGGCATTTTTGTTTCAGTGTATCCATTTACATATTTCTTCTTGTATTTTAGGTTTTCCATAAACGGATGCCTCCAGAGGCAATTGATCTGGCATCTCGACTGCTTCAATATTCACCGAGTCTTAGATGCACTGCGGTGAGTTTAATCACATTTTGTCTGAATGGATATGCCCGTGGGAGCTCAAGAGGAGCTCATATTTTTCAGTACTTGATTCCTAAAGTTGTATTTTGCAAAAGATTTTTCTCTTTAAGTAAGATTTTTCCTGCTTAATAACTATTCTGATTAGATATGCCTTTGTTATTGCAGCTAGAAGCATGTGCACATCCTTTCTTTGATGAGCTGCGCGAACCCAATGCGCGCCTACCAAATGGTCGCCCTCTACCTCCTTTATTCAACTTTAAGCACGAAGTATGTTTCTAACCTTTTTAACATATTTATCTTTATTTTGTTTTTGAGCATGATCTCTCTGTTAATATAATGACGCTCAAAGGCACAAAAAATATTTCTTGGTTTCATTGTGAACAGTTTTCTGTTTATGTCATTTTTCAATGAAGAAGTTCACGATGAAGCTAATGCTAGATGCTTATCAATTGTTTTATTCTTATTACAGTTATCTGGGGCATCTACGGAGCTTGTTAATAAGCTGATACCAGACCATGTGAAACGGCAATTAGGTCTAAATTTCTTACATCTTGCTGGGACTTAGATTCAGTAAAGTGGAAGTGACGTCTACTTGTTGATGTGTGACACGAAGGGAATTCTATCCTTGTGTTTAGCTACCATGCATTGAGGCTTGACCAGCATCATTTCTTGCTCTACCACTACCAGGCAGTCTCGGGCAGCAGCTGGATGGCCGCCCTTCTTGGTGCTTTCTTTTCTACTTTCACCCCAACCACCCTTGCCTCTCCCCCTTTTCTCTTCTTCCATCCCTTTTATTCTGTCAAAGTGCCCATTTGTTTATGTACATGTTTGATAGTAAAAGATAGGCTAAGGTGATAAGGTGGACTGATCAGAAAGCAGCTGCTAGTAGAGGGGAAAAAAAAAAACTGAGGAGAATTGTATTTGTAGCTAGGAGGAAAAAAAAAAAAAAAAAGCCCCTAATATAATGGCCCGAAGAAAAGGGGTTGGGCATGTTGTTTGTTGTCAGGTTTGGTTCTTCATGTCATTTGGTTTTTTGTTGTGGTTTGTGATGACTTGACTTCCAATTGCAGACAATTGTTGTCACCTGCTGTTTGTGCAAAGTAATGTTATTACAATATGCTTTATCCTTGCTAAATCTCTCGCGTTTTATTTTTAAAGTTTCATCGTTTCGTTTCAACAATCTCTGATTTTATGTGTAACCGGAATGTTTGGGTCAATTTGAGCGTATCTGATATCTTAATTAATAATGGTCGGTTCACTGGGTACCTTCAAACCTAACTTGACGAATTTTCTGTACAAAGAGCGTTAATAATGTGGAAACTGATTATGCGATTAACATAGTGATTGGAATTGTTGTTGATATCAATAAATAAGTAAAATGTAATTATTGCGCATGATTCGTCAAAAGAAAATACCCCTAAAGCATTCCACACGGTTATCATTGTGTTCTTCCTTTTTCAACTTTTTGAATGACGGCTGCTCATTTATTCAACCCATATTATGCGTATTGCCGGTGACTGGTGAGACTCTTTATTCAACCAAAAAGAATAATTGGATTATTTGCACTTTCATCCTTTATGGTTGGGAGAATATTATATTTACCTATTATGATTTATGGGATACAAACAGTTTAGTCCAGTCAGGTAAAAATTTTCAATACAAAGTCTATAATACCCCTATGTCTTATTTACGTATTATTAAAAATAAGTAAAATGCAAGAAAGTACATGGTATGGTACACCTAAAAAAGAGTCAATTATAAATATAATAACTACCCTTGAATAACCGAATGGATCGATAAAGATTCTTAAGTGTATTACTCAACGGTCACGAGTTTAAATCTCTCTTTGGTTATTAAGAAGAGTAATCATTGGAGATCTTACCTGGTTAATAGTTTCAGGATCTCAAGAAATTAGTTGAGGTGTGTATAAGCTGATCCAAACACCTCCAATCATAAAAAAAAAAATTATAAATACAATAAATCATAAAACTTAAAATAGAGTAACCAAAATTAAAAAAAATTTGAAACATCCAACTAAATTGTCTGCATCTCATAAATATTAGAGCTAAATAATAGCCTCCAATCCTTAAGGATGAAAGTGTAAATAATCCGGGTAATTCTTGTTTATTAGTATTTACTTATTTTATTTACCATGGCCCTTTCGATCACTGGGTACGGTGCCGTTTTTGTCCTTAAATTATAGTCCTCCTCCTATGAAAGTCCAAATTTCAGAAACATGTTTAATCGTGCCTGCCACCAATCATAGAGCTATATAAGATCTGAGCCGTGGGTTAGTGGGGTTTGGTCAAAGTAAGAGAAATCAACGGCACGATCACAATCTCCGAACAAAATCACATGTTGGACAAGGCGACAATCTCTGTCATTTACGAATCTCGAGAATATTATCCCGCTTTCACAGCTACTCTCCTGGCCTTACGATATCTTAATATTTATTAATTTATTTATCTCATCGTGGCAAGGCAACCAAGAGAAAGTTGAAAATCCAAAAAGACCTCTGACAAAAAAACGACTCAGTGGGTTACGACTCGGGACTCCATTCGTTTGAGCTTCACTAGTAAGCGGAAAAAGTGAGCTTAGTTTAGTTTAGTTTAGTGGGTTGTTCTGTAGACTGTAGTTTGCTTTTTGCAGAGTTCCAAGTCAATGGAGTTGGCTTTTCTGTTGCTTTTCATCGTTTTCTTTTGTGGGCACACCAAAGTTTCCGCCTCTGACAATCTTCTTTCTCCCAAAGGCGTGAACTATGAAGGTCACTCTGCTGCCTTTTTTTTTTTTTTTTTTTTTATAAATATCGTTTTTGTACTTGTTGACTTTTGTTTTATTTTATTCATTTTGTTTTTGGGTTGTTTGTGTTTATCAGTTACTGCTTTGATGGCTGTCAAGACTAAAATGAGAGACGAGTTACATGTAATGGACGGCTGGGATATAAATTCCGTGGATCCATGCACTTGGAACATGGTTGGTTGCTCTACTGAAGGTTTCGTCACTTCCCTGTAAGTTTCCAAATTCCAATTATTTCTACTTATACGTTAGTGTAATAAAGTTTTTTTCTTTTCATTTTTGACTTACATGTTTTATATTGCTTTGCCTTTTTGTAGTGAAATGACCAATATGGGTTTATCTGGAACTCTTTCTCCCAGTATTGGCAACTTAACTCACCTGAGAACAATGTTAGTACTACACTCTTTGCATTTATATTTGGCTTGAATTAATTTAATTTTAATTGTCTCTGCATGTTGACATTTTGAAACAAATTTGTAAAATTTTACTTATTTTTAATGACAAATGTGTACCAATTAGTACTTTCAATCTCTTTTTATTATAGGCTGTTGCATACTAATCAGTTAAGTGGCACTATCCCAGCTGAGATAGGGATGCTTTCTCAACTTCAAACACTTGACCTTTCGAGTAACCAACTTGTTGGACAAATTCCAAGTTCTTTGGGGTTTCTTACTCATCTAACTTACTTGTAAGTATGGCTTTATATTATTATGTGTTGATATGTCTATGAATTTTAATATTAATGTTGGTTTGCACTAGTTTTTCATGTTCTAAGCCTTTTTCTTGACTAGTTTTTCAGGAGGCTTAATAACAACAGCTTATCTGGTCCAATTTCTCCACTTGTTGCCAATCTTACAACTCTTTCGTTCTTGTATGTATTTCATGTCATATCAACTGTGTTTGCTTTATTAGATTGTGTAAAATGATGATTATGATTCGTACTTTTAAACCCTGTGCAGGGACTTATCTTTCAATAATCTCAGTGGTTCGACACCCAAAATATTAGCGAAAGGTTACAGGTGAGATATTTAGTAGAAAGAGATTTTGATCATAAATTTATTGTTCTTTACCTAATTATTAGACTGTTATCATCTATTAACTATCCTTCATTGTTGATATGATGAAATTACACAGAGTTAACAGATTTGTGATGTTATAGAACGTATGGTGAAAATTGGCATATATTTGAATATTGTGCTTTATCAATGCAATAATTTCCTTATTTCTTTTCTATGATTTTTTTTACTAATGAAGCAAAATATGCAACTTTCAATTGTATGTTTATTTTTTTATGGTAACTTAAGAGAAAATTAAGTTTGCTAAATGGCCATTTGCATTTTTCAGGATACATTGATTTTTTTGATAGGCTTTAAAGTTTTCTACACTTGTATGGATTCATCCTGTTATTTTGCTTTCTGACACCTAAATGTCTTTATGTTTTGATCTAGTTTTGAAGGGAACAGCTTTCTTTGCACTTCTCCATCTGAACAAATTTGCATGCATGTTTCTAAACCAGAAAATGGTAGTTTACATTAAACTTGTCCAGTGTTTAGATACGTTGAGCTTCAATGATGTGAATGGGTATTTATGATGATTCTAACTGCAGGGACAAGTTTAGCTCCAAAAGCTAGTGGCCATCGTCGATGGGTGCTTTCTGTTGCTGTAGGCATCAGCTGCACATTTGTTGTTTCTGTAATGTTGCTTGTTTGTTGGGTGCATTGGTACAGATCTCGTCTACTCTTTTCATCCTACGGTACTTTCTGAACTCTCTGCTCTTTTACTGATCGCATTTGTGGTGATAGATGTGAGAAATTTTAATAATCTGAAATTTGCAGTGCAGCAGGATTATGAATTTGATATTGGTCATCTAAAGAGGTTCTCATTTCGTGAATTACAAATTGCTACTGGAAACTTTAGTGTGAAAAACATTTTGGGGCAGGGAGGATATGGAGTAGTGTATAAAGGATGTCTTCCAAATAAGACAGTGGTGGCAGTTAAGAGGTTAAAAGATCCAAATTTCACTGGAGAAATGCAGTTTCAGACCGAAGTTGAGATGATTGGATTAGCTTTGCATCGGAACCTGTTACGCTTATATGGCTTCTGTATGACGACTGAGGAAAGGTTGCTTGTTTATCCTTACATGCCAAATGGGAGTGTTGCAGACCGCTTGAGAGGTTAGTTTCAGTTTGTTGATGTGCTTACTCCTGTCAAGGATGTTGGCATATGGGCTAATCTTTTAAAATGCTAAAGAACTCTATTCCTCTCAGGTAGTCCTATTGCTAATAGCATCCAGTAATTAGTTAAGAAAATTAAATTTTTGAAGGGTACAGATTATTAATATATTTTTTCTTTAGTCAGAATTTTTACCTCTGAAAATGATAAGCATAGGTGATAGATTCTCATATGCATTCTTCCATGGAAAGCATACTATCCATATAGGATTTTTTTTTTTTTTTTTTTTTCAAACAGTTCGACAATTTTCATATTATATGGTTGAATATCATAATTAGGGATAGCAACTGGTTATCGAGCAAATTTATATGCATGGTTTGGACTAATTAATCCCACTGGACTCTAAAATACATTCCATCCATATCTCTTAATTCAGGTGAAACTACAATTGAGTACTTTTTTTTTCCCCTTCAATTTCTTAATTGGCTTAATGTTCTTTAGCAGAAACTGGGCAGGCAAAGCCGTCTCTGGATTGGAACAGACGAGTGCGAATTGCCCTTGGAACTGCCCGTGGACTTCTGTACTTGCATGAACAATGTAATCCAAAAATAATTCACAGGGATGTCAAAGCTGCAAATATTTTGCTTGATGAAAGTTTTGAAGCTGTGGTCGGGGATTTTGGTCTTGCCAAACTGTTGGATCGGAGAGATTCACATGTTACTACTGCAGTACGAGGAACTGTGGGGCATATTGCTCCAGAGTATCTTTCAACTGGACAATCTTCTGAAAAAACTGATATCTTTGGTTTTGGGATACTCCTTTTGGAACTTATTACGGGGCAAAAGGCATTAGATGCTGGCAATGGGCAGGTACAGAAGGGAATGATTCTTGACTGGGTAAGTGCCTATTATGTCACTCCTTTTACACTACATAAAATTGTTCACTTTCAGTCCATCCTTTGAGAAAGCAGTTAGTGGATTTCTTGGTGAGGCTAATGAATGTGGATGCCTGTAATAACTGAATCTTCTGAGTGGATTTAGTTTCCAGTTAATTATCAACTGTGCAGTTTTCCACAATGTATATGAACCCAAATACTACTCAATCTGAGTTTCTTTGGACAATGCATCTTGTCTGTAGCATGGAAAAAGTATTTTTGACTTGATGGCCTGTTCTCTATTATGTTGAATGTTGTTTTGGTGCTTTTGGCTTGTATCTTCTTCTGAACTTGGGTTACCTGTTTGGCTCTTTCCCTAATGTGGGTATTGAAATATAATTCTTTCATCCTTGTTAATATTCTATTCTTAACTTCCCACAATGTTTCTCAGTGTGTAAACTAAAATGAAGCTAACTCAAGTTTTATTCTTTGCTTATTAAAATTCTTGTATCACATGAATTATGCAGGTTAGAACCTTAAATGAAGAGAGGAGGCTAGAAGTACTAGTAGATAGGGATCTTAAGGGATGTTTTGATTTAATGGAATTGGAAAAAGCTGTAGAGTTGGCTCTACAGTGTACTCAGCCACATCCTAATCTCCGCCCAAAGATGTCAGAAGTCTTGAAGGTCCTGGAAATCCTTGTTGGGCAGGCAGGAACGGATGAATCACAACAAGGCGAGGCAAGAGATTTTAGCTCCTATAGGAATTATAGTGATGTCCATGAAGAATCATCATTTATCATTGAAGCAATTGAACTTTCTGGACCCCGGTAACAAAAATCATTTCCCTGTCTATTTGTAAATGAGTTTTGCATCTGTCTTAACCTTCAGTTATTTACAGAACTGTCTTGGTTTAGTGTGTGAATCGAGTCTCTATATGAAATTGGAAACGCGACTTCCCATTATTGTATTTGTTGACAGCCTTTCCTGACAGAAAATTTTAAGGTGCAACTTACTTTTTGTCCTCTTAGACATACAACACATTTCCTCCCAACTCCCAAGCTGTTATATTTATAAAGTGAATATAAAATCTCCATTTCCATCAAGGTGGACTCTTTTCATACAAAACATGACCAGGGATATTCCTGGAAATCGATTGATTTTTTTTTTTTTTTTTTTGGCAATATCATATGATTGACTAGAATCCATTTCACCACAAACCAGACACATATCTGGCACTGGTTGGCAATCGCCACGTGGCGCCTTAAATTTTGGCTCTTGTGAGTTGTGAGTGAGGTTTCTCATATTAATTGCATGAATAGTACAACTTGTAAAATGTTCTGATACTTATTATCTGATGGCCATAGCTTTGGCATCCCTTTAATGTGTGGATAGAACCTTCAAGCATTTAGGAATAGAGTGATGCTATGGGTACTAACGGATGGGTACTAATCTGTGTACTAACTAAAGCATAGTACCCGTACTATGCGTATAGTATGGGTACTATGTTTTAGTTAGTACACAGATTAGTACTCATCCGTTAGTACCCAAAGTATTATTCTTAGGAATATCTACACTTTCAGATTGTATATGCAGGGCTGGATAAGTATGCACCACTAAACACTTTCAGATTGTGACTTTTAGATTACGACTCCAAACTAGAAACTGCCCTTGAGTGTTTGTATTGGATTTTCCATTGATTTCTTAAATGCCTTGGAGGAAAATGGAGTGTAAATTAATAAATTATCTCAGGATTGCTTCAACTTGTTGAATGTATTGGGCAGAAGAACAAGTTTAGTTTGATGACTTACAATGTGGGTTTTCTCATGTCTCACGCATAGTGGGTTCCATGATAATGAAATAAGGTAAGGAATATTCATTTCATGTCTTTAAAGCTTCATTCTACCTTACCTTTACCTCACCTCCAAATAACGTTACTGGGGAAATTTTATCTCTAAATGGTTTGATGACCAATATATATCTTTAATAAATGTTTTCATTTATATATAGTTAGTTTGTTCCAATTAACTTGTACGGGTTATACTATTTACATCTTTTTGTCAAATTACAGTAAGTCAATGTAATTTAATAACATTTAGTTTTATTTATTTTTCAATCTATTTTAATGTAATATTTATATGATTTGTTCAGAGATTAAAAGAAAACAAAATAAGAAATGGTGAAGTTAAGGATGGGAGAAAGCAGAATCTACATAGGAAAGTAAAAAAACTTATATGTGGCTTGTGTATATATGTAAGTAATTTTGATTAAATTGTTGTGATTTTTTTTTATTAAAACATAAATAAAAGGGTTAACGACTTTTTCCTACTCAAATCATGGTGTAATGACACTTTCCTATCTATAGACTTTTAAAATATAATTTTACTATCTAAATTTATATTTAGGCAACGAATATAGAGCAAAATCGGTCCAGGTTGTTAGGGTTTTTTAAGAAGGGAGGTTGTTGGGGTTTATGAAAAAGGGAGGTTGATGAGTCTTTTGAAGGATAGGATTGATCGAAATTTAACTTGGAAGGGGTAGTTGCATAAACCTTAGTTGCTCTGCGAGAATAGTGTTTGAGGGGTTTTGGTGAGTAGAGGTGTTAAAAAAAATGTAAAAAACCGAATCGAACTGAATTTTCGGTTATTCGAAAAACCGGTTCGATTTTGGTTCAAAGAAAATAAAATATCAAATTTTCAATTTGGTTATCGGTTTGGCAAAATATGGAAACCGGTTAATCGAAACCGTTTATTATAAAAATATTAAATTAAAATAAAAAATTCAGTTTATTATAAAAATATTAAATTAAAAAAATCTGGTTGAAAACCGGTTAACCGGTTTTTACTAATTGGTTTTTCGATTAACCGGTTCTGTTTTGGTTCAAGAATTTTTCAAAACCGAAAAACTAGTTTGGTTCAGAAAATTAGCTAATCGGTTTTGAACACCCCTATTGGTGAGTGATGATCAGGGAAGAAAATGATGGTGATATGGGATCGTAACGATGTCGGAATCGAAAACGGAATATAAATTTGATAATAAAATAGTATTTTAAAAGTTTCGGAATCGAAAACGGAATATAAATTTGATAATAAAATAATATTTTAAAAGTTTGGGAGTGAGAAAGTATTATTAAACCATTACTAAATAAAAAATTATGAATATATTTTTTAAAACAAGTATCGTTAAAATGATAAAAATTAAATAAAGTAGGTGAAGAGGAGTAGAGGACGGCAAGGTCAAATCACGTCAACGTAACGCTAACCCCAAAATGTTCCTTCAACATAATCTATTGCTTCTTCCATTGATTACATATCACATTCTTATCAAGCTATATAAAAAATTAATATATCAAAAAAAAAAAAAAAAAAAAACTCAAATATCTGCATACAAATATAATAATCTTTTTTACCTATAAAAATAATACAATAAAACTTCTTTATAATCATATTTTATAGTTTATATATAAATAATTTTTATATAATCATAAAAAATTATAACCCTAATTTAGAATAGTTATAAAAAAAATAAACTTCACATTATTAACTTATTTTTTTTAATTTCCGTTTTAAGAAAATCACCTCCACATAATATACATATATATTAAGCTACATTAAAGGTTTAAGATGAAATAATTTTTTTATCTAAAGTCGTTTAGACAATGATTTATACTTTAGAGTTGTTACACATATTTTAACTCGTTACCATTGATACTTTCTTATTGAAGCAAAAAATTTTCTAACTTCTCAAGCATGTTTAGAGCTTCTTGACACGAAACTTTTTATATTTCCACTATCATTCTCGAGATTATTTTATTTCTCTTATCTAATTGTAGCAATGACTAAAACAATAAATTAAAATCTTAATACATACTATTAAAATGTGAATAATAAAATAAGAAATGAAAGCACTAACTTTTGTAACTATACCTCAATTAAGTAATAATTTTCTTATAGTAATAAATTAGTTTGATCCCACTATTATGACTATAGAGAGATTTTACGATATATTAGAACTAAAAATAAAAAATTAACCAAATTAAATTAATTAATCACAAAGAATAATGGGAATATTATAAAACATTTTACCCGACCTAACATATAATGAAAATATAGTAAAACCTTTCTATAATTATAATGGTGGGACTAACTAGTTACTATAAAGAGATTATAACTTAATGGAGATGTACTTACAAAAATTATAGTTTTGATTTCTTATTTTATAATTCATGTTTTAGTAGTACAATATTAGGATTTCAATTCATATTTTAGTAATATTATGATTTCAATTCAGCGCTTCAATTGTCTACTTTTAAAACAGATAAAAGATCGTTTCTTAGAACCAGGAAAAATAAGTGTCATTGATGAAACTGTAAATGCAATTGATGCATGGTCAATTGATGTGAAGCCACAGATTGTCAATGGTTTTAAATGCTGCAAAATTAGGACCATTAATGTCAATGAATTGTAAGTTACAAATAAAGTGGATGAGGAGAATAAAAGAGTCACTATAGAATTGAGTGATCAGATTTGACAACTTCATTACACTAATCGAATGGATATTAATGTCTTCTTCGATTATCCAAATGAGCAACAAATCGTGTATGCTTTAACAAAGGAGAAATCATTGTTGCAATTGGATAATAAGAGAAATGAAATAATCCTAAGGATAATAGTACAGAAATACAAAAAGTCACGTGCCATGAAACTTTAAACATGCTTGAGAAACTAAAAATATTTTGGCTTCAATAAAAAGGTATCCATACTAACGAGTTAGTGGGTACTCGTAAAGTAAAAGATGTGATAACAACTCTAAAACATAAATCATTGTCATAAACAATTTTAAATAAATATTTTATTTTATTTTAAATGTTTAATTTCACATAACGTATATATTTTTAGTAATATACAAATAATTATTACTATATAGAGATAGCTTTTTTTAAAGTGGGGATTAGAAAAATTATAACTTATTATAATGTAGAGTTTATTCTTATTTATAGCTATCCTAAATTAGGATTATAATTTTTTATGATTATATAAAGTTTATTACTACATAAAGTATCATTATAAAAATATTTTATCGGAGTAATACAGGTTATAAATGGAGACTCCGGAAGAGTTATATATTACGTTTTAAATTATTAATGAATAAATAAAAGATATAAAAAATGAAAATCAAATCATAGAATTAAAGGATTAAGAAGCAAAGTCGCGTCATGACAACGACAAGCTTATAAAATTAAAAATATAAAAATAATACATTTTAAGGATACGTAATGTACCATTATTTTATTAAAGATTTGTGGTCAACTCTGACAACTCAAACAAATAAAAGAAAACAAAAATGTAATTTTACTTACCTAAAAAATGGAGCATTCAATATTTCAATTTAATTTAACCTCCACCAGTACCAACACGGCCAGCCGCCACCCATTTCACGTCTTCAGTCTTTACCTATTCAAGATAAAACGTCACTTGAACAATTAATTAATTAAAAAGATACTATTCCATGCAGATGCAGTTGGAGAATCCAAATACATCAACATAACAAGATAAGCATTAATCTCCAACTTGTATTGTATTCTTTGTATTTCAAATTCCAAACTTGATCCACCATTAATCCACTTCATTAAGGTTTTGATTATTTGATTTATTCCCACTCCAACTCCAACTCCTCCTTTTCTTTTCCCCACCTAACCTTTATCTATACAGTTTCAGTTTTTTTCTTTTTAATTATATGATTATATATAAATAACACCCAGTACTTGTTCTAGTTAATTCTCTAACCTGAGATCTATCTGCTTTGCTTTTTCTCTTTTTAATGAAAAAAGAAACCATTTTTTTTATCTCTGTTCCCGGGTTTAAAGTTTAAAGTAAACGCTCTTGTTGATGGATGATTGGAGGAGCTGTCTTTTCTGTGGAATTGGAGTGAACAAATGGAGTAGGTAACGATCTGGTTTCTGGGTTTGTTTGTTTTTTTTTTTGTAACATAAGATTCAGTTTTGTTGGAGTTATTTAACTGTTAATTCTCATCATTGCTCCTTTTCTTATGAAATGTTTGTGTCTTTTAGGGATGGGATGATAACAGTGTCTGTTATGCAATCAAGATAGATAATACTGTTGGTTGCATATATTTATCTATTTTGCCGTTTCTGAAAATTCTTGAGGGAGGTTTTGATTATATGTGATTAATGGATCAAGAAACTCATGAGAGTGATAGAATTGTTGAGAATTTGAGTCAAGTTGGTAGAGCAACTGGTGAGAATTCTAGTAATTCGGTTGATGGGGCTGTGCTAGACACTGTTATTGGGAAAAATTCAATTGAAAGTTCGAGTGTTGGGAGAGATATTGATGAAGTTGAGTTAAGTAAAACTTTAGGAGAAGGGCAAGAGAGGGTTATAAATCATGAGGCAGATGATAGGAGAGTAGTTGCTGAGAATTCGGGCAATTCGGTTCATGGGGTTAGAGTAGATACATTGAGTGTGAGTAATTCAGAAGAAAGTACGAGTTATAGTGGAGAAAAGGGGGGTTCTGGATCGAAAATTGATGAACTGGGGTCAAATGATACAGTTGCGGAAGCACAGAATACGCATGATCGGCAAAGTGTTGGGAGTCAAATTGATCAAGTGCCAGAGACTGTTATTGTGGTAAATTTGGATCAGACAGCTGGTGTTAGCAGAGACAATAATGAATTAGTAGAAGTAAAAGGTAATGAACGGACCTCAAGTAAAGCATTGGTGGAAATGCTGAAGAGAAAGAATTCTAGAGTGGAGAAGCAATCCTGTGTGATTGATATTAAATGTGGTGGTGCAGATGAGAAAGGAACTAAGGAGAGCGGGAATGAGGAAAAGGTATGTAGGATTTGTCACTTAGACTCTGAACAATCGTTGGAAACCACAGATGCTACAGATACTGTTGATAGTTCCACTATGGATTTAATTCATCTTGGTTGTGGGTGTAAAGATGAGCTTGGCATTGCACATAGCCATTGTGCTGAGGCATGGTTTAAGCTAAAAGGAAACAGGTAAACATTTCTTGTTTATGTAAAATATGACCTTTTTTTAGATTCTACATAAAAGTTTTAGGAAATAGTATGCATTTGAGTTGATGTTAGATTAAGATGTACCATTTCACAGGTTGGCTTTCTCTATTTTATTATTATTATTATTATTATTATTATTATTATTATTATTTGTTGTTGTTGTTGATGATAACTATAAGGTTTGGCTTGTTAATGCTGTTTGAAATTCTTTTATCTGTCAATATCTGAACTTTAAACAGACATAACTCTAAGTTTGCGAGCTTAAATTAATAAAGAATTTCCAAGTACTGCAGAGGAAATAAATAATAGGGAATGTTGTCTCTTTCTTCCTTAAAGCTTAAGGTCTTGTAAAGTGTAAAATATGTTGAATGCTGGCATATGGCTGCAGTTGCAAATTACAAGTATTTGCGCTTTTTGATTTTGACTATAGGTCTTAGTGCTTGTGATTATGAGTTGTTGTGTCATATAACTTTTGACTAGTGATTGCTTTTATTATTGGCTTCTAGGAATCATATCATTTTATTAAGTTTGAGTATACTGAATTTAAATTATAGAGTCTGAGTGGACTCTCAATTTTATGCGAAACTCGACTAATATGATTCCTAGAAGCCAATAACAGAAGCAACGTTAATCAGAAGTTAATTTAATTAGATTACTCTTATGTGAAACTCAAATTGAATACCGTTTGAGTAGACTCTCAGTCTTATGGTTCGTAGTAACTGAAAGTATCATGTGTAGGCATGTACGGTGTGTGACATCTTTATCATTCACATGTGTTTGTGCATTTTTACTGTGTGTACATCCTACCCATATCGTTATGCATGTATATTAATCATGTTACATAGTGCTTTGAGCATTAATATTTAACAAATTCGATATGGATGTGCATTACTTCATTTCTCTCCAGTGGCGAGCCATTAGTTTTGTTGTAATATTAATCATGTTACATAGTGCTTTGAGCACTGAATATTTAACAAATTCGATATGGATGTCCATTACTTCATTTTTCTCCAGTGGCGAGCCATTAGTTTTGTTGTAATATTAAATTGCTCTCTTTTATTGAATTTGCCTCCCCAAGATCAACTTGTCTCTCCCTAATTAAGTTAGAATTTAATATTACTTAGTATGCTTTCATAATTATGTCATTTTTTTTATTTGCCTTTTTCATGCCTCAAACATCAAATTTTATTTTATTTTATTTTTGTTCTTTCAACTTTGTTGTCTCTTTCTATTTTAACTTATGAAATGCTAAATCCACTTCTCTTTTCTTTTTTTCCTGTTTATCATCGTCTCTCTATTATCACTTACCCTCTCCAATTCATATCTTAATTTTAAATGATTTTTAACAATCACATTAATATAAATAAAAAAATAAGCTTTGAATATTTTGAACTTTCTTAATATTTACTATATGTTATTTATATTTATGTAATCTTTATTTGTAATCATAAATTTTTTTTTGTTTTTTTTTTTTAACATTGGAAAGAAAAAGACTACATATTATATATGCTCATTTTCATATGCCATTAAGGCAATGTTATCTATTTTTCCGATTTGGTTGGTCCCCCCTCAAATCAAAATATTGGCTTCAGACTTGTTTCTCTCTTCTGGTTCCATTTTGTAGTGCTTCTTTCGTATGCTCCTAAAGTACCTAGGTCATGTCCTTGTAGATGGTTCTTACTAAATTATCTTATATAAGAAAAAGGTGGAATCTATTGGGTTTTTATTGTGAATCGACACATCCCTGGGTTTCAGCTAATTTAATTGGTAAAGTTCTTTGTTTTGATATACTATTCAATCTCAAATCAACAGTTGATACTTCTCAAGTTTGCATTGAACAACAGTTTCTGTCAAGGAATTCTGAGTATTGTAGACCTGTTTCTTGTGATCCACAGGTTGTGTGAAATTTGTGGCCAGACTGCGAAAAATATCACTGGTGTTGGGGATTTCAGATTTATGGAGGAATGGAACGAGCATAGATTTATCGGAGGAAGTAGTAGCTCATCAGAAAGGAGTGGATGTTGGCGGGGGCAGCCATTTTGTAACTTCCTAATGGCATGCCTAGTGATAGCTTTTGTACTGCCATGGTTTTTTCGTGTAAATATGTTTTAATATGGTGTGAATAAAAACTTGAATGGCCCTTCCCTTGCATCATGTTCAACCAAGTTCTAGTAGATATATTCATTACCAGGACGGTTGATTCGAGCCTGCAGAATTTAAAAGGTTGCCCACCTTGACAACCAGGATATGCAAAATCATGCAGTATTTTACTTCTGGAATACAGTTTTCTTTTTCCTCCCTATGTATCTGTTATTTCAGACTGTTTGACGGTACTTGTCGCACATGGAATATTTACAATTCTTATTCAGGAGTTCCAACTGTAAATACCAGCAGAAAATTGGTTATTCATTCAAACTTTACAGAAAGTGAAATATTAAGTTATTTTCATGTATTTTATTCGGTACACTGGCCTCCTACAGAAGTTGAAAAATTGGCGATGAGTGATCAATTTCATTTACTTCCAGTTTCCAGTGTTATCGATATGTTTAGAGAAATAACATTGGGTGACGTTAATACTGCATTTACAAATAAATACCTCAGATTATATAATGCATGTGACAAATAACAAGTGATGTATGTCTAGGATCCATTCATCTATATGTAATGCCCTTGCATAACTTCACTCCGTTACGGTACAATTAGTTTTATTTTTACTTTTTATCCTTCGACCAAGATGTTGTCTAGTACACAACAAATAACCGGATTATTCAGTAATTATATTAAAAATATAAATAAAAATATTGATAAGATAGTTATCAACATCCGTTGTAGTCTAGGTGGTTAGGATATTCGGCTCTCACCCGAAAGACCCGGGTTCAAGTCCCGGCAACGGAACAATTATTTTTGCCAATTTACATTTTCAGCACCGAATTTCTTTTGACGCCTAACTATTTTACATTTTAAGCCCCCCTTTTAACTTATTTGTCCCCTAAATATCATAAAATGACTTTCTTGTTTTGCTATAACTTTTGGTTTGAGAAACTACTTTTGGTTTGAGAAACTAACATTGGCCCAGTCTTTGGCTCCATCTATATGAAAGTTTGATCCTTAGCCATCACATATGACTTTCTCATGAAAGTTCATGTCAAAAGTTCACGACATTAATGGGTTCCAATTGACATGAACTTTGTGTAGTTTTCTCCACCTCAATCTGGCATGTTTTAGGTTCAAAATACTCTTTCAATGGTTAATATTATTTATACAAACTCTTTATACAAAGAAAGTTTGTACAAACTTGCGTGGTACACCATGTAAATGCCATGTGACATAAGGGCCTACATAATATTAATGTGACATTAAGTTACATAGGACTCAATACCATATGACATGCTTTGTGGTATGACACATAAGTTTGTACAAACTCTCTTTGTATAAATAGCATTATCTCTCTTTCAATGACTTTTCAGGCAACTTTTCTCTTGTTTAGAATTGTCCAATGAAATGAAACAAATTCTATTTAAGCATGATTTTGATGAAGGGAAGTGAATTGTCCCACCCCACTAATTTGATCTCTAGGCCCCATCTTCAGAATCAAATAAGTATAAAATTGTCATAAATAAAATAAAATAAAATAAAATTTTGCATCTCCAAAATCAACACAAACTCCAATCAAAGCAGCACATCTCATTCAACAACCACCATTGGCCTCTCCTTCTCCACCATCACCTCCCCCGCCATCTCCTCCTCCTCCGCTTGCCATTGAGCTTGATCAAATCATCAGCAACACCACCAGCAAGAGAGCCTTCAACACCTATGACGCTATAGCTTATAATTTCATCATCAGGGGAAACTACAAAGGAGGGCTCAACACATTCGCCATTGTTGGCCTTTCTTCAAAGTACAACTTCGATACAATCAAGAGGTATATATAAAGTTACTCCCAACACTGATCTTCGTTAACCACCCCTTGTGGCCTTGATGAAGTGAATGATAGATTGAGGAGTTAAAAGACTAAGGAGTCTTAGGTTTCAGTCGTAGCAAGGACAAGGGATGGCCACCAATAACATTGATTTTAATCTATATAAAATATTATTTGATCATCTTTGATTCATGAAATAGCATGTTTACCCTTATTATTGTTATCTTTGGAATATGTTATTTTTTAAATTAATTATTGAAAGATTCATCAAAAACCCAAATTACAATAATAATTTAAGTAATAAAAAAATTTGTCAAGAATTAATCAAACCAATAATTATTAGGCTTGGAGGAAAAACCCAATGAGATGGAGATGGAGTGGCCATAAAACCTAGTTTTGTGCGGTGGGGAATGCACAACAAATTTCGAAGCTACAAATAGTAGTGGGAGAAATTATATTTATGCCCATAGAATCAGGGATATGAGAGGGGGTGAATGAATGTGAGAATTTATAGAAACTTGGCCTGGAGTTGACCCAACCTCGATAACAATTACATAACATACAAAATACATATAATTAATTATATTCTTTTCTTTATTTATAACCTTACCCAATCCTAATATGTGATTGATTTTACACATTTGCCTTCTTAGGGGTTTTGCTAATATTTCGTTAAACTTTAAGGGAGGTGAGAGATAGTAACTCTTTTAAAAATGATAGGGGTGAGCATAGACAGTGGGTAGAATTGGAACCTGCAGGTAGAACCGAAACTAAAACCAAAACCTAACCTAGAACCGACACTGTGTGGGTAGGTTCTGGTTTCGATTTTTACATGTTCAAAAATGGAACCTAGGAAAAGAACTTGAAGCGGGTATCTTGCTTGGAACCTGTTTGTATTTTGGTTTTGATTAAGAAATTTTATGTGAATTGTGGTGAATTGATTGAATTCAAATATTGCCTAGAGATTGGAGGATTTATGAGTCACATTGGACACAAATGAATGAGTAATCAAAAGTTGAAAACTACTAAATGTAGGTTTTCTTAATTTGTTAGGGTTGTATTTGTAAACTTTTAAGGTATTTTTGTCATTTTTTAAACTAATAGTGGGGTAATTGATTTTTTATAGGATACCTGGGCAAGGAACCAGAACCTGCATTTCAGGTTCCAATTCTCCCGAAAAATACAGGGTACTTGGAACCACTCACCCCTAAAAAAATAAGGATAGCTTTGTTTGTTTTCATAACTATCGGTGGAAAAGGGGGTTATCACAATAGTTTCAGGCTCAAAATAATTTGGCCTTTTTAAATGTGGCCCTTATTGTTGAGGATACTTTCGTCTATTCGTATTGGGACGATTACAAAAACCCTAACTGGCTCCCTCTTCTGTTTTTAGCTCCCCCGCCTCTTTAACTATCCTCAGATTCATCAGCCCCTCCATCGGCCTCAGCAAACCACAACACTGCAATGGTTCTGTCTTTCACTCACTCACTCTTTCAAGCAAAGTTTTTATCGTTTCGTACTTGTATGAAAATTTCCGTATCATTTTATTGACTGTGTTTATGTTTTTATGTTATTAAATCAGGCGTCGGAGAAGAAGCTTGCGAACCCAATGAGAGAAATAAAAGTACAGAAGCTGGTACTCAACATCTCCGTGGGTGAAAGTGGGGATAGACTCACCCGTGCCGCCAAGGTTCTCGAACAACTCAGTGGCCAAACCCCTGTCTTTTCCAAGGCTAGGTACACTGTCAGGTCCTTTGGAATCAGGAGGAACGAAAAGATTGCCTGTTACGTTACCGTTAGAGGAGACAAGGCGATGCAGCTTTTGGAAAGCGGTTTGAAGGTTAAGGAGTACGAACTTTTGAGACGCAACTTCAGCGAAACTGGCTGCTTCGGTTTCGGTATTCAGGAGCACATTGATCTCGGTATCAAGTAAGTTCCATTTTATTCGTTATTTGTTCATTTCCATTGAGTCTTGTTTATCATTACTTTTCCATACTTCAAGCAATGCACAGGTAAATCAGGAAAAAAAATATTCCATTTGCAGTATTGGGTGTATGTTTCTAGCGAGAAAATTTTCCATATGCTCACTATTATGCTTTAGTGTTTTAAGTTTTTAGGCTTTATCAGTTGAGATGATGTAGTAAAATAGTGATGCAACTTATGATTTTCCTGAAGATTGAGTGAGCATAGAAATATGTGTGTTCACATATTAATCTGAAATTCATGCCTATGTTGAAGTCAAATGCAGGGTTGATGCTGACTTGAAGCTCATACATATATGTCCTATTCGGAACATATGGAAGTCATCGCATACATTGTGGCTTCTGTGTCTTTATGGAAGTTATTCTTTAGTCTATTTCAGTTCCAGTGTCTTGCATTTCCTTTATGGATGAGGGGGTGTACCTTAGAACTAGATTGCCACACTCAAGGGATATGAATGTTTTATAAATTTCATAAGGATTACTTACTGACATTGCTAGGGTTCAGTTCTGACTTACTAAACCCTAGCATGTCTATATATAATATGTTCTTTTTTCTAGACTGTAAGGACTGAAGTTCTTGTTGAAAATAGTAGTCTCTCAGGATGTCATATTTCGGACTAAGCTACCAACATTGCTCTTGTAGTCTTGTTATGGATCAACTGGACGAGATAGGCATATGCTGCATACGTATTTACTAATATGGTTCTTTTGTGTACTACTTCAATTTGGCTTCTAGTATGAATAATTTAATTATGTATTGTCTTGTAGAATGAGATCATTACAAAGAAATAGTACAGATTTTCTTATTTCTGCATGGTTGTTATGAGTGTATTAGGGATCTCAGGTTCTGAGGTCTCACTCTGGGATTTTAAGGTTAAATGTTGTATTGTATCTTCTCTTTTCAGGTATGATCCTTCAACTGGTATCTATGGTATGGATTTCTATGTCGTTCTTGAGCGCCCAGGATATCGTGTTGGTCGCCGCCGCAGATGCAAGGCACGTGTTGGAATTCAGCATAGAGTTACAAAGGAGGATGCAATGAAGTGGTTCCAGGTGAAATATGAAGGAGTCATCCTTAACAAGGCCCAAAACATTGGAGCTTAAGAAGAAGTGTTACAGACTTGTTGAGTTGTTACTTTTTAAAGTTTTGGCCAGTTGTCTGATTTATGTTTATGAGCAGTTTATGTTTTCTCTGAAGAGATTTGAATTGGTGGATTTTGAAGTACTATATGTGGTGGTCTTTTGGTTATTTATTAGAAAATGGTAGTAATGCTTACTTCTTGCCTTGATACTCGGTGCAACAACTTGTATCTGTTTGCATTGCAGCTTAAGAAAATTTTAACTTGGCCGGATGACATGTTCCCAGCATTGTTTTAAAAACCGGACTGGAGGGCAACCCTCTCTGTTGGCCAGGTCACGGTTCAACCAGTCCAACCGGTTGGACTGATTACGTCAGCACATTTTTAAATCATACTGTTATATACTAAGTGCTAACCTAACATTTCGAATTCCTCTTCCAGTAAGTTGAGTAATTAAAAGCTAGCCTTCCAACCATTACAATTGGCTTGTTGAAACTTTATTTGTATTACAACCAATGTTTTAAAACCCGGCCCGGCCCGGCCGGTTGAATCGGGACCCGGAAGCTTCAACGGGTTGGGTTTAATTTTTTCCTATTCATCCAATACCCTAGGATTTCCGGTGATGATCGGCGAACAATTAACTGTCGGCATGTTGGGGCTTTTGAAGATCAATGTCCAGTGAATGTAATGGTGGTGAAAGAGTTGATTTCCGGTGAGTAAATCGACCGGAAATCGAACAAAACTGGTAGTGACAACGATGAGATTTTTCCGGTGATTGACAGGGCTAACGGCGGTGGGGTGAGGTGGGTTTTGGTCGGAAGGAAAAAGGGAGTAATTCTGGGGTGATGGGGAGGGTTGTTGTTGCCGGAATCGATGGGATCTGGCCTGGAATGCCGAAGTCGACGTCGGTGAGATCTGGCCAAAATCGAACCTATTTCGGCCAGATCTTGGGTATATTTTGATGGAAATGGACTCAAGGGACGATTGAGGTTGCATCTGGGGTGTCGCCGCCGCTAATCAGTCTCCAGTCGATTTGCAGTTGGGGTGTGTTTGATAAATTTCAAACCTATAGGGACTTCACTTAATTTTTAGGGGTATATTTGCTTAATTTTAAAAGTTTTTGTCAACCGGTTTGACCGTTGGTCAAACCGAGACCCGGAAGCTTTGCCGGGTTTTACCCCAGGTTGGGTTTTAAAACATTGATTACAACAACTATAAGATTAAAACATTTACAACACCCATCTAAATAAGTTGTGTAATGGCTACAAACTGGGATTGTACATTGTCCCCAATTCTTTACACTAAAGCATGGACAGTTTACTTTATGGCTTCCAAATGATAAAAAGGATGAGTAAAATTTCAAAATCTGCAAAAATGATAAAGTAAACATAAGGTAGATCTTTTTATTTGCATATAAAAGTTATACAGTGGCTTGAATTCTAGTTCTGAAAATGCCTCTTTTTAATACAAATAAAATTATATGAAAACCAAGGCAAAAATAATTCATAAGTTTGGAAATCACAGAGCTTGAAGGACATCCGAAGAGACACCTTCAAATGATTGAATCCATATGGCAAAATGTTACCAAATTTCACAAACAATCCACTATCTGCAACGCATCATTCAGAAAGGGTAATCTGAAAGTACTAAGATTGTAATATATACTTCCCATACATCACTTCCACCCAAACAATAAAAAGTGATGCAACTTATGATTTTCCTGAAGATTGAGTGAACATAGAAATATGTGTGTTCACATATTAATCTGAAATTCATGCCTATGTTGAAGTCAAATGCAGGGTTGATGCGGACTGAAGCTCAAAATATGTAAATTGTCATAAATAAAATAAAATAAAATAAAATTTTGCATCTCCAAAATCAACACAAACTCTAATCAAAGCACCACATCTCATTCAACAACCACCATTGGCCTCTCCTTCTCCACCATCACCTCCCCCGCCATCTCCTCCTCCTCCGCTTGCCATTGAGCTTGATCAAATCATCAGCAACACCACCATCAAGAGAGCCTTCAACACCTATGACGCTACAACTTATAATTTCATCATCATGGGAAACTACAAAGGAGGGCTCAACGCATTCGCCATTGTTGGCCTTTCTTCAAAGTACAACTTTGATACAATCAAGAGGTATATATAAAGTTACTCCCAACATTGATCTTCGTTAATCACCCCTTGTGGCCTTGATGAAGTGAATGATAGATTGAGGAGTTAAGAGACTACGGAGTCTTAGGTTTCAATCGTAGCAAGGACAAGGGATGGCCACCAATAACATTGATTTTAATCGATATAAAATATTATTTGATCATCTTTGATTCATGAAATAACATGTTTACCCTTATTGTTGTTATCTTTGGAATATGTTATTTTTTAAATTAATTATTGAAAGATTCATCAAAAACCCAAATTACAATAATAATTTAAGTAATAAAAAAATTTGTCAAGAATTAATCAAACCAATAATTATTAGGCTTGGAGGAAAAACCCAATGAGATGGAGATGGAGTGGCCATAAAACCTAGTTTTGTGCGGTGGGGAATGCACAACAAATTTCGAAGCTACAAATAGTAGTGGAAGAAATTATATTTATGCCCATAGAATCAGGGATATGAGAGGGATGAATGAATGTGAGAATTTATAGAAACTTGGCCTCGAGTTGACCCAACCTCGATAACAATTACATAACATACGAAATACATAAAATTAATTATATTCTTTTCTTTATTTAAACAATTTAACCTTACCCAATCCTAAAATGTGATTGATTTTACACATTTGCCTTCTTAGGGGTTTTGCTAATATTTCGTTAAACTTTAGGCGAGGTGAGAGATAATAACTCTTTTAAAAATGATAGGGATGAGCATGGACAACAGGTAGAATCGGAACCTACGGGTAGAACCGAAACCAAAACCAAAACCTAACCTAGAACAGACACTATGTGGGTAGGTTATGGTTCCGATTTTTACATGTTCTGAAACCGAAACCTAGGAAAAGAACTTGAAGCGGGTATCTTGATTGGAACCTGTTTGTGTTTTGGTTTTGATTAAGAAATTTTATGTGAATTGTGGTGAATTGATTGAATTCAAATGTTGCCTAGAGATTAAAGGATTTATGAGTCATAGTGGATACAAATGAATAAGTAATCAAAAGTTGAAAACTACTAAATATAGGTTTTCTTAATTTGTTAGGGTTGTATTTGTAAACTTTTAAGGTATTTTTGTTATTTTTTAAACTAATAGTGGGGTAATTGATTTTTTACAGGGTACCTGGGTAAGGAACTGGAACCTGTATTTTAGGTTCTGGTTCCAACCTGATTCCCCTGAAAAATACAGGGTACTCAGAACCACTCAACCCTAAAAAATGAGGATAGCCTTGTTTGTTTTCATAACTATCGGTGGAAAAGGGGGTTGTCACAGTAGGTTCAGGGTCAAAATAATTTGGCCTTTTTAAATATGGCCCTTATTGTTGAGGATACTTTCGTCTATTCGTATTGGGACGATTACAAAAACCCTAACTGGCTCCCTCTCCCTCATCTGGTTTTAGCTTCCCCGCCTCTTTAACTATCCTCAGATTCATCAGCCCCTCCATCGGCCTCAGCAAACCACAACACTGCAATGGTTCTGTCTTTCACTCACTCACTCTTTCAAGCAAAGTTTTTATCGTTTCGTACTTGTATGAAAATTTCCGTATCATTTAATTGACTGTGTTTATGTTTTTATGTTATTAAATCAGGCGTCGGAGAAGAAGCTTGCGAACCCAATGAGAGAAATAAAAGTACAGAAGCTGGTACTCAACATCTCCGTGGGTGAAAGTGGGGATAGACTCACCCGTGCCGCCAAGGTTCTCGAACAACTCAGTGGCCAAACCCCTGTCTTTTCCAAGGCTAGGTACACTGTCAGGTCCTTTGGAATCAGGAGGAACGAAAAGATTGCCTGTTACGTTACCGTTAGAGGAGACAAGGCGATGCAGCTTTTGGAAAGCGGTTTGAAGGTTAAGGAGTACGAACTTTTGAGACGCAACTTCAGCGAAACTGGCTGCTTCGGTTTCGGTATTCAGGAGCACATTGATCTCGGTATCAAGTAAGTTCCATTTTATTCGTTATTTGTTCATTTCCATTGAGTCTTGTTTATCATTACTTTTCCATACTTCAAGCAATGCACAGGTAAATCAGGAAAAAAAATATTCCATTTGCAGTATTGGGTGTATGTTTCTAGCGAGAAAATTTTCCATATGCTCACTATTATGCTTTAGTGTTTTAAGTTTTTAGGCTTTATCAGTTGAGATGATGTAGTAAAATAGTGATGCAACTTATGATTTTCCTGAAGATTGAGTGAGCATAGAAATATGTGTGTTCACATATTAATCTGAAATTCATGCCTATGTTGAAGTCAAATGCAGGGTTGATGCTGACTTGAAGCTCATACATATATGTCCTATTCGGAACATATGGAAGTCATCGCATACATTGTGGCTTCTGTGTCTTTATGGAAGTTATTCTTTAGTCTATTTCAGTTCCAGTGTCTTGCATTTCCTTTATGGATGAGGGGGTGTACCTTAGAACTAGATTGCCACACTCAAGGGATATGAATGTTTTATAAATTTCATAAGGATTACTTACTGACATTGCTAGGGTTCAGTTCTGACTTACTAAACCCTAGCATGTCTATATATAATATGTTCTTTTTTCTAGACTGTAAGGACTGAAGTTCTTGTTGAAAATAGTAGTCTCTCAGGATGTCATATTTCGGACTAAGCTACCAACATTGCTCTTGTAGTCTTGTTATGGATCAACTGGACGAGATAGGCATATGCTGCATACGTATTTACTAATATGGTTCGTTTGTGTACTACTTCAATTTGGCTTCTAGTATGTAATAATTTAATTATGTATTGTCTTGTAGAATGAGATTGTTACAAAGAAATAGTACAGATTTTCTTATTTATGCATGGTTGTTATGAGTGTATTAGGGATCTCAGGTTCTGAGGTCTCACTCTGGAATTTTGAAGTTAATGGTCGTACTGTGTTTTATCTCACTCTGGGATTTTAAAGTTAACTGTTGTATTGTATCTTCTCTTTTCAGGTATGATCCTTCAACTGGTATCTATGGTATGGATTTCTATGTTGTTCTTGAGCGCCCAGGATATCGTGTTGGTCGCCGCCGCAGATGCAAGGCACGTGTTGGAATTCAGCATAGAGTTACAAAGGAGGATGCAATGAAATGGTTCCAGGTGAAATATGAAGGAGTCATCCTTAACAAGGCCCAAAACATTGGAGCTTAAGAAGAAGTGTTACAGACTTGTTGAGTTGTTACTTTTTAAAGTTTTGGCCAGTTGTCTGATTTATGTTTATGAGCAGTTTATGTTTTCTCTGAAGAGATTTGAATTGGTGGATTTTGAAGTACTATATGTGGTGGTCTTTTGGTTATTTATTAGAAAATGGTAGTAATGCTTACTTCTTGCCTTGATACTCGGTGCAACAACTTGTATCTGTTTGCATTGCAGCTTAAGAAAATTTTAACTTGGCCGGATGACATGTTCCCCAGCATTGTTTTAAAAACCGGACTGGAGGCAACCCTCTCTGTTGGCCAGGTCACGGTTCAACCAGTCCAACGGTTGGCTGTTACGTCAGCACATTTTTAAATCATACTGTTATATACTAAGTGCTAACCTAACATTTCGAATTCCTCTTCCAGTAAGTTGAGTAATTAAAAGCTAGCCTTCCAACCATTACATTGGCTTGTTGAAACTTTATTTGTATTACAACCAATGTTTTAAAACCCCCGGCCCGGCCCGCCGGTTGAATCGGGACCCGGAGCTTCAACGGGTTGGGTTTAATTTTTTCCTATTCATCCAATACCCTAGGATTTCCGGTGATGATCGGCGAAAAATTAACTGTCGGCATGTTGGGGCTTTTGAAGATCAATGTCCAGTGAATGTAATGGTGGTGAAAGTGTGATTTCCGTGAGTAAATCGACCGGAAATCGAACAAAACTGGTAGTGACAACGATGAGATTTTTCCGGTGATGACAGGGCTAACGGCGGTGGGGTGAGGTGGGTTTTGGTCGGAAGAAAAAGGGTAATTCTGGGGTGATGGGGAGGTTGTTGTTGCCGGAATCGATGGGATCTGGCCTGGAACCGAAGTCGACGTCGGTGATCTGGCCAAAATCGAACCTATTTCGGCCAGATCTTGGGTTAATTTGATGGAAATGGACTCAAGGGACGATTGAGGTTGCATCTGGGGTGTCGCCGCCGCTAATCAGTCTCCAGCGATTTGCAGTTGGGGTGTGTTTGATAATTTCAAACCTATAGGGACTTCACTTAATTTTTAGGGGTATATTTGCTTAATTTAAAAGTTTGTCAACCGTTTTGACCGTTGGTCAAACCGAGACCCGGAAGCTTTGCGGGTTTACCCCAGGTTGGGTTTTAAAACATTGATTACAACAACTATAAGATAAAACATTTAACACCCATCTAAATAAGTTGTGTAATGGCTACAAACTGGGATTGTACATTGTCCCAATTCTTTACACTAAAGCATGGACAGTTTACTTTATGGCTTCCATGATAAAAAGGATGAGTAAAATTTCAAAATCTGCAAAAATGATAAAGTAAACATAAGGTAGATCTTTTTATTTGCATATAAAAGTTATACAGTCTTGAATTCTAGTTCTGAAAATGCTCTTTTTATAACAATAAAATTATATGAAAACCAAGGCAAAAATATTCATAAGTTTGAAATCACAGAGCTGAAGGACATCCGAAGAGACACCTTCAATGATTGAATCCATATGGCAAAAGTTACCAAATTTCACAAACAATCCACTATCTGCAACGCACTCTTCAGAAAGGGTAATCTGAAAGTACTAAGATTGTAATATATACTTCCCATACATCACTTCCACCCAAACATGCAACAGCACCACAACAGTCGAACAATTCCCATGCCAAAAATAATCTCCATACATCACTTCCACCCAAACAGCAACAGCACCAAACAAACGGTAGCTTTAAAAATTGTACAATAAAATATCCAGTACTGCCCGGATAATGGGGTGCGAATTCTGTTAATAAATTGTAGCTCAAATAGTCAAACTTACTCTCTATTAAAAAAGGACAAAGAGAAAGCACACATTTTAAATTTCACAGCAAAGGTCCCGAAGATTACAACTCACCTTGAATCAAATTGGATTGTCAAGACATGCATGCCAATCAGCCTTCATGCGTCGATTTCCGGCGAGGGAGGAACGCGTCGTCGATTTCCAGCTAGGGAGGAACGTGTCGTCGCGATTTCAGAGACTTGAGTTGCGATCGATTTCAGCAACGAATGGTTGTGATTTCAGCAAGGGATGGTTGCGATTTCAGCAAGATTGAGTTTTGATTTGTGATTATTTTCAGATTTTCGCCATTTCATTCAAATTTTTTCAAAGTTTTTTGCGCGTAGAGGAACTGAGGAAAAAGAAATGCGCAGCGCAAAGGGAGAAAGTGAGAAATTTAGGGTTTTTTCATTTTTCAGATTGGGCCGGTTTTTCTTGCGGTCTGGTTGGACCGGCGGTCCAGCACTGTTCACGCGGTCCAATGACGGGTTAAAACGGTTTATTGCATAATAGCGGGTTTTATGCTGACTCGAATCGGACACATGATAGGTTCACGGTCCAACCGGTTGGACCGACCGGTTCGGTCCAACTTTTAAAACAGTGGTTCCCACCCGAAGTTTGCCCTAATGACAATTTATTACCCAAAAAACTTGAAAACGACAATTACGCACCAACTGGCAATATTTGTGAGACAATTACTCATCTGTCGTTAAGATTTGTTAATAAAATTTGGTACAATAATTGTAAAGATGAAAATACCCTTTCCTTTTTTAATCTAAGTCCCAAGTCTTATTTGTCTAGTTGGAATCGTGTCGGTTGGATGTGGTTTGATCAAGATCGCACATGGCCAGATGCGATTTGGCCTAAATTGTGCATCGTAACGTGTACATAGACATGAGTTGAAGGATGATCGGTGATAAATGGTTGGGTTTTCCGGTCAAATTCAATCACTAAAACACTTCAATTAATACCCAAACAAACCCTAAACTTCAATTTCATCAAACAACAATCATCAACAACCAATTTCAAAAAAATGCAACAAACACTAGACTGAGCGTTGGACAATGAATGATGGGCTATTGAGGCTGGGAAGGTTATGGGTTTTGTAGGGGGAAGCTGCTGAGCCAAAGGGTGGTGGTAGTTGGGATTGTTGACACCGGAATCGATAAAAAAAAAGGCTAGAATTACGTGAGTCAACCTTACATGGCAATCAGCGATAGAGGGGTGGTTGCTCGGGAAAGAGAGGGGTTTCGTTAAGGGGGTTGTGGGGAGTCTGTTGGTGGTGATAGGGATGCTCAACGACATTGGATTCAAGCCAAGTTGGCCTGAATACGGTAGGCGCACGATAGGAGTGGGTTGCACAAAGGCAACGCGAATTTGGCCAATTTTGACAAGAAGAACAGTCAAATGGGGCTTGGGAAGGTTTAGATCAAAGCTGGGGATATTCTTCTTGCCGAAATTGGTGAGAATTCCAGCGAGAGGCAGTCAAAAGGCCGACAACAATTGCCGGCAATGGGTCGTTTTGAGAGATAAGTTACTATATACTTTTTCAGTTCAAGTTAATGGACATAATTAACAGTTAGTGAATAATTGTCGTTTTCAAACTTTTTGGGTAGTAAATTCTCGATAGGGCAAACTTTGGGTGGAAACAGTCGTTCGGCCTTTTAACATCCTAAGGAAATTTTGGTAGTCTCTGCAAGGATTGTGGCATGTTGGTCTGTGATTTAGTGGCACGTTCTGGTAGCAATTGCCTCCAAATTCTGAGTTAAGTTTACATACCCTTAAAATAACTTATTGATATAAAGTAGTTATATAAGAACATTGGGAATAATGTATTTGATGTATCTTGCTGAATTAGTTGGAAAGATAAAAGCTGCCAAGGATAATGATGCAGAAATGCACAAACTAATTTAACCAGAATTTGTTGTAATGAAATTTGGACAACTTTAAGGCGAAAAAAAAAAAAAAAAAAAAAAAAAAAAAAAAAAAAAAAAAAAAAAAAAAAACACAAAAGGAAAAGAAACGAACCTACACAAAAACAAACATGAGAATAGGAGCACCAAGCATTGGTCACATCAATTTCTTTCAGATCGTTAACTGCAGTTCAGGCTCCTGGTTTTTTATGCGCGTCAAAACTCACTAGTTCAGGACGGCTAATGGTCCTCTCAGGACCTCAGCAATTTAATGAGCTCACTCTTCTTCAGCCTTGAGTAGCCTTTGAACCCTCTAGCCTTTGCCAGTTCTTTCAGCTGAGGAAGTTTCAATTCCTCCACTCTTGGCAACTTTAACTGCTCACTTTCTGCCATGTTTGCTGATGCTTCACTGTTCGGCTCAAGAACTTTGCCTCTTGGGGTTGAAGCAGATGGTATGGGAGATCTCTTAACAAAAGTAGATGGTAACCTAGCCAACTTGAAGTTTTTGACAGGTTCATTATTTAGTGTTTCCTGCTCTTTCACCTCCCCATCCTTGACCGAACTTGTGTCTACAAAAATAAGTATCTGAATAAATAATAATAAGGGGTAAAACAGAAAAAAAATTCCCATTATGTTTTAACATGGAACTGAAAGCCAAATTCTCAATTGTGTGTTGATAGAATGGTAGTAGCAGCAGTTCTGTTACAATGTTTGCCATGGTAATTATGGTTTATAGAAGTAGCAATAACATCAGTTTTCCGATCCACATTTTTTTCCATGCTCTTTCTAAAGATTTGACGGAAAATGAATTGAAGAGAAGTTAACTAAAAGTAATTATTTTTTCCATTTTGCTAGTAACTCATAATGCAAAGAGCTACATGCTTTATATCCACTCCTCTGGTATCTACCATACTAAACCAAATATATTAATAAAATTAAGAAGATATCAAACTACTAGTAAGAATACTATATTAATTATGTAGCTTCAAAGATCAATCTACATCACCTTTTACTTCCTTCTGTGTATGGAGAAGAACATCAATAACTGATTCAACTGTGCGCTTACCATCAGATGGGATGCGATCTCTCTTCTTCATGCTCACAGACTCTCCCTTTGATACTGAAGACTGAATCTGTTTGAAAAGAGCAATTATCTCTTCCTGGTTAGATGAGCTTGATGCTTGACCATCAGATAATTGAGGTCTCTTATTTCCATCCCCTTTCTTCTTTCTTCCAGCAGCAGAACCTTTCTGGGGTGGCCGGTCTCTTCTATTTTCATCAGATCTTATGCTTACAATGGTTAACTTATGAGGGTTCTTTTGGAAGCCAAAAGGTGAAGTGCAATCTGCAATCTCTGCCAAATTGAACAAGCTGCATCAAAGAATGATCTCTCAGTCTGTGATTTACAAAATATCTGGTCCAAGGACATATCTACCTGCTGATATCCAGACTTCACAGAAAGTCAACCATGAAGTTGGACACAATAGATACTAACCAACGAAAAGAGAATAAACAACATTTCAGAAAGAAAATAAAGCCCAAGTCTCTTAAAGAGACAGATATATACAGTGAGATAATACTTTAGTTTGTGAACTAACTTAAAGATGATAGCAATGCATATAGTGGCTGCTATCAAACTTTCAAGTTTCAAGTAGCCTAACATCGATTTTAAAGTAGGAAAACAAAAAACCTATCCAGGTCCTGGGATTGTAGGACTTATTTTAGTTATTAAAAGATCATAATTATAAAAAATGGAGCCATAAACTTGTTGGTCAAACAACATAATCTCTGATAGCCATGGACTGTGAACAACAAAAAAATCACCCAAGCATTCCTGGATTTTAGGTTAGCCTGCTTTGATGCAGGTTTCCCATCAGAGGTTTAAACAATTACCAAGCTGATAAAACATTAGCCAGAGATGATTGAAAATGTTTCATGAGGCTGAGGTCATCCCAACTCACGTAATGAAAGGTACCATATCACATACTAAATCGACTTGAAACATACCAACTTGAACGAAAAACCCTATGATTGGTATCCTGGGATACATTTACAGATTTTATCAACAACAATTAAGAATCTCAATCAAAGCTAAATTAATCCATTACATGAAGCCTTTAAAAGCAAACAATCATGTTACAAAAGATTGATCAGTAGTTGAGGCTTCCATACCAGAACTTGAGATCATATGTCCCTAGTAAAGTGGGACACTCAATGTTCAACATCAAAATCACAAGCAGACGTGAAGTATTATTTGGGATGTACAATAATGAAAAGATGAACTTTCCCCATATTACATACATACAGCACTAAAATCAGAAACCCACAGAACTATTTAAGCTTTCAGCACTAAGAATCCAAACAAATTCTAGGAAATGAGATTTCTGTAACTAAGAAACGAAGTAATTGTTTAGGGATAACTTACTACCTCTTGGTGAGAAAACGGGCCTTCCCAACTTCAGCTGCTTGCTGAAAGATAACAAAGATTGAGGATAAAATGCAACTGCACCCATAATTTTCCCACAAAATCTCAAATTCTTCTTAACCGGAAAAGAAAGGGTCTCGAGTCTCTTGACTAACCCGCTATATAAAAAGCTCAATATTGGTTTTTTTTTTTCTTCTTATACCGTAAAAAATAGTAGGTCCACAACTTTCTACAGCACGTGCAAACCACGTACTAAACCCTGGGATGTTTGGTTATGTTACCTTGCTATATACGTACAATGTTTATCCAGTTCTTTTGAGTGTTGAGAAAATGCTGATTTTCCTGTCTAGAACCGCGCCAAACTTGTTCTGTTTCTCTCCAACTAATCAAAACTGCAGAAAAAAGTTTTCTAGCTCTCAGAATGGTTTCGTTTGCTTTAAAAAACCATCTTCAAGACCCATTTTTGAATCATCAAATTTGCACAGTTCTCTTACCACAAACTCTAACTCTGCTTCACTCACAAAACCCATTGATCACAAAACTGTTGATTACAATAATAAAATCTGTAGGTTTTGTGAGGTGGGTAATCTTAAAAAAGCCATGGAATTACTTTACAGCTCTCAAAAATCTGAACTTGAATCAAAAACTTATTGTTCCATATTGCAGCTTTGTGCTGAACTTAAGTCACTAGAAGATGGTGAAAAGGTTCATTCAGTTATTTGTGATAATGGCATTGAAGTTGATGTTGTTTTGGGTTCAAAACTTGTGTTTATGTATGTAAGTTGTGGAGCTTTGAAAGAAGGTAGACGTGTTTTTAATAAGATAGTTAATGGAAAGGTTTTCATATGGAATCTAATGATAAATGAGTATTCAAAGATTGGTAATTTTAAAGAGAGTATATATTTGTTCAAGGAGATGATAGGATTGGGAATTGAGGTGAATTCCTATACATTTTGTTTTGTTTTGAAGTGTTTTGCTGCTCAAAGAAGTGTAAAAGAAGGTGAATTGGTTCATGGGTATTTGTTGAAATTGGGTTTTGGATGCTATAACACTGTTGTGAATTCTTTGATTGCCTTTTATTTTAAGTGTAGAAGAGTGGAGAGTGCACGCAAGTTGTTTGATGAATTGAATGATCGAGATGTTGTTTCATGGAATTCTATGATAAGTGGTTATGTAGCTAATGATCTTGCTGAGAAGGGACTTGAGGTTTTCAAAGTAATGTTATATTCAGGTTTCAATGCGGATTTGGCTACATTGGTTACTGTCCTTTCAGGTTGTGCGGATTGTGGTGCTCTTACATTGGGTCGAACAGTTCATGCTATTGGAATGAAATCTCGTTTCGATAAGGAAATCACCTTTAAGAATACTTTATTGGATATGTATTCAAAGTGTGTCGATTTAGATGGTGCAGTTCGAGTTTTTGAGAAAATGGAAGATAGAAGTGTTGTGTCATGGACTTCCATGATAGCAGGTTATGCTCGAGAAGGTGTATCTGATGGGGCTATCAGATTGTTCCGTGAGATGGAAAGGGCGGGTGTTGAACCAGATGTATTTGCTATAGCAAGCATTCTTCATGCCTGTGCTTGTGAGGGTTTATTGGGGATTGGCAAGGATGTGCACAATTACATAAAGGAAAATGATATGCAATCAAGTTTGTATGTGTCTAATACCCTCATGGATATGTATGCCAAATGTGGAAGCATGGAAGATGCACAATCAGTGTTTTCTGAGATGCCTGTGAAGGACATTGTCTCATGGAATACAATGATTGGTGGTTACTCGAAAAACAGTTTTCCAAATGAGGCTCTGAATGTGTTTGTTGAAATGCTGCAGGAATTAGAACCTAATGGTAGAACAATGGCATGCGTTCTTCCTGCTTGCGCCAGCCTGTCTGCTTTAGAGAGAGGAAGAGAGATCCATGGTTACATATTGAGAAATGGATATTCATCAGATAGGCATGTTGCCAATGCAATTGTTGACATGTATGTTAAGAGTGGGGTATTAGTCCTTGCGCGATTGCTCTTTGATAGGATTCCTGTCAAGGATCTCATCTCATGGACTGTTATGATTGCTGGGTATGGTATGCATGGGTTTGGTAGAGAAGCTATTGCTACCTTCAATGAGATGAGAAATGCAGGCATTGAGCCTGATGAAGTTTCCTTCATATCGATATTGTATGCTTGCAGTCATTCTGGATTAGTTGATGAAGGATGGAGATTCTTTAATTTAATGAGATATGAGTTCAAAATTGAGCCCAAGTTGGAACATTATGCCTGTATGGTGGATCTTCTTTCCCGGACTGGGAACCTATCAAAAGCAAATCGTTTCATCGAAATGATGCCGATTGTACCAGATGCCACAGTCTGGGGAGCTTTACTATGTGGGTGCAGAATTCATCATGATGTTAAATTGGCAGAGAAAGTTGCTGAACATGTTTTTGAGCTGGAGCCAGAGAACACAGGATATTATGTACTTTTAGCAAATATCTATGCCGAAGCTGAAAAATGGGAAGAAATGAAAATATTACGAGAGAAAATTGGCCAGCGAGGCTTAAAAAAGAACCCAGGCTGTAGTTGGATAGAGATCAAGGGCAAAGTGAATATCTTTGTTGCTGGTGGTAGTTCACACCCTCAAGCCAAAAGAATAGAGTCTCTATTGAAGAGCTTAAAACAGAAGATGGAGGAGGAAGGTTACTTTCCTAAAACAAAGTTTGCTTTGATTAACGCGGATGAAATGGAAAAGGAAGTGGCTCTCTGCGGGCATAGTGAGAAATTAGCCATGGCTTTTGGAATATTGAGTTTGCCACCAGGCAGAACTATTCGGGTCACCAAGAATCTAAGAGTGTGCGGAGACTGTCATGAAATGGCTAAGTTTATGTCCAGAACAGCAAGGAGGGAGATTGTTTTGAGAGATTCTAATCGCTTTCACCATTTTAAGGACGGGCATTGTTCTTGCAGAGGTTTCTGGTGAGGCAAATGGGTTAGGAGTTTTCATATAAAGGAGCCCACTATCTAGATAAAGTTTCAAGACTCTTGCCTGTTAACAAGTTGGTCCTCAAGAACGAATCAGTAGATTGTTGTAAATTATGGTTCTTTGACAGTTTAACATCCCTGGTGAAAATTCATAGGTTTTATCCATCAATTGAGCAAGAGATACTATTTACAGTCTATATAGAGATGTAATGCGGCAATATAGCCAGGCTTTCCCAATTGAGGAGAATTTGTAAATCATTGATGGTCAAATTGTATGTCGATAGAAATAGGGCTATTTTTGTTTGTGCTGAATAAGTCATTATATTTGAGAGGGCAGATCTCTTTCAGTCAATTTTATCTTTCCTTAATATGGTGTCTATTTAACTTCATTCTTGAAATCAATCACCTTTTTATAAGGGTATTTAAAAGCAAGGCTGGCTTCATGAAAGACAAGTGAGTTCATGATTTTGCCAAAGCAAGTACTTGACATTGCAGTTAAAAATTGGAAATGCAGTTAAGCAAACAGAGCAAATAATGACTACTAATGGCCGCAAGAGTTCCCCAAGCAAAATGTGATTAAGAATTATGAATATTTACTCTTTCATAAGTTCAGTAGGATCATCTTAATCACTCATATCCTCTGGAAACTAATATTTAGGGCCACTATATCTCCATTTAACTTAAAATCCATGATGACTGCCCACCCAACACCTCGCTAGAAATCATTCCTGAGAATTAAGATCATTTGAAGTGAATTCTTTCTTAAGCTTGTTCCCAAGTTCCAGAGTCATCTTCAAGCAATGTTCTTTTCCATTTCTCTGCCTCTAAGGCCCACCATTCTACACATATTTTGACTCATCAGCAACTCCATGGCATATGAGATATATAGGATCTACGATAACATCATATTACATTAAATGGATATTTGGAAAATGACATCTCAGCATCTAACATTCTTTGTTCTCCATTTTTTTTTTATGAACTGTCATGATAACCATCCCTTTATTTCTGGTAAACTTTAACCACAGGATGGGCTTTTCCTGAAAGCAGAGAGAGAGATGGCAATGATTGTGGTCATTAACTTTGTTTAAAATTAACATTTAAGCATCTTCTTTATGATTATAAACCATAATTTATAATCATAATATATTTTGGTGTCATCAGAATTTAGCAACAATCTTTATACTGCTGCCATTCAACACAAGCATGAAAATAATACACTCAGAACTGAGCTGAAACTGAAACGAATGTGAAGGTCATTAAATGAAGAGATATGGTCAACTTCATATGCTTCATGTTGAATCACATGAGACTCAGCAAATTATTACCGACAAATTTCAACATGGTTGGCCGGCACTAACGCTTACAAACTTTGGCTGCATTGCGCCGTAAAGATAAAAGAAAGAGAAACAGCTAAAGCTTAAGCTTAAGCACATGCACATGGTTGATGGGTTTGGACATTTATCCACGTGGGGTGATCCATTTTATGTACGAAGGTAATACAGAACGCCAAGAAAATCTCCAATTTTTATTCAAGACAGAACAGATCTATCCGACAGCCGTATCTAGCCATTTATAAGATGTAAACTATATTGGGTGGATTTATTACATTTCTTTTTAATTCCCAGAAACTTCCCATTAATAGATTCATCAACTATCATCAAACTTGGTAATAACTACAGAAGTAATATCTTTATGCATGTGCTAAACAAACTAAATTACTTGACACATGCTGTCCGTGAAAGCAAGTAAGGCAATATGGCGTCAAACAATTTTCACCCATAAATGCTCAAGCGATGAGATATGGCAATATGCTATTGAACCTGTCCAAGGGATCAGATCAAATTCAAGGTTGTTTTGTGAGCTGCAATCAATTCAATCTACCAAACCTTTCTATTTGAATTGCCTGAAACACTCATATTTTAATACTAGTCATTAAAAAGGAACATTACAGAGGATAAAATAAACCCTTGTGTGGGCTTTCTGTGTTTGGCTTTACTATGGCATGGATAGACAAATATCGATAGCAAACCAAACTCAATTAAAGCACACAGGATCAAAGTAAAGGGCTTCAAAATTTTGGCTTTATTATTATACCAAACAAATAGATCTCAATTAAAGCATATAACAATAAGATGGACAGAGAGGGTGAATTTATGACAGTAGTGTAAAATAGTGAATGATTGCAGCTCAAGAAAAATACATAAATTTCTTTCTTTTGGGGTAAGGGATAAGTACACAAGTGAAGATACCGTATCAGACACTTTACCCCTCTAGCTTTAGCATCTAATAATACAATCCACAGTAAACACACTTAAAAGTAAAAACAACAAATTGAAAGAAATGCTCTTTCCCTCATTCCATGATCAAAGCATAAAAGAATTAACACACCAATTCAATGATTCCTAGCTCCTTTTGCTTATCAAATGTTCCCTCTACAATCAATTCATAATTCAATGTATAGTAAATTAAATAAATCTCACATCTAGTCACCAATCTTTTTCCTAATCTAAAATCTAACCTGGGATTTTCTCTTCAACCACACCATTTGGAGAGAAGAACAAGGAAAACAATGAGAAAAACAATAGAGGAAAGCCCAATTGCAACACCAAGAACAACTTTATTTGGCCCATGATGGTGCTCCTTCTGGCTAGAATCATCATCAGAATCGTCATAATCTGATGAATCACTTTCACTATTGGCTGAAGAATCATCCTTAGCTGGTGGTGGAGACATTGGTAATCCATGCTTATCACAAGGAGCAACTCCAAGCTTTAATTTTGATGACAAAACCGTATGATTATAACACAAATTGCTATTCCCACCCACCTTGAACACCGTCAATCTCTTTAAAAAAGATGCGTTAAATGGCAAAACTCCATGAAACTCGTTGTTCTGAAGATTTAAGTACCTTAAAGACTTCATATCTGCAAAAAACCTGGGTATGGTCCCATTCAACTGATTTGAACTCAGATCAACATGAACCAACCCTGGTATTGCTGTCATTGACTCAGGGATCGACCCAGACAATGAGTTGGAAGCCAAAGATACATTCTTTAACGAAATCAAGTCACCGAATTCAGAGGGTATCTCTCCATTGAACCCATTAGACGAAAGATTCAAGCTTTCAAGACTATCGAGAAGAGTTATTGAAGTGGGTATCCTTCCTTTAAGCTGATTACCTGAAACATCGACATGGGTGAGGTTCAAATGAAAGTGTTTGGGGATGCTACCGGTGAGACTTGCATTAGAAATGGTGACTGATTTCAGCTTCTTCATGTTCCCAAGAATCACGTATAAACCACTAGCATTTACTGGCACATTAGTAACAGTGAGATCTGTAAGGTTAACAAAGCGAGATAGAAAGACACCAGTGAGGCGGCGAAGAGAGTGGATGCAGGAAAACGAGTGGAGAGAAAGAGAAAGCTCAGTGGGAAAGTGAACGGGAGCAACAGGGCAGTTATAGAAAGATAGGTTTTGGAGAGTAGAGAGAGATTTGAGAGCTGTAGAAGACATAGACACGTCATCAGAACAGTTGGAGAAGCGGAGAGATAGGAGGTGACTGAAGGGTTTTGCGGAGTCACATTGGTTAAGAGAGCAAGGGTTTCTCGAAGGAAGGTTCAAAGATTGGAGGGCTCTCACTTGTTTTGGGTCTAAGGGGGCAGCTTTGGACGGAGGAGCAGCTGAAGGTGTGACTGGAGTTGGAGAGGTTGTGGGGGAAGGGGCCGGAGGGAGAACCTTGGTTGCGGCGGAGGAGACGGCGGTGAAGAAGAGGAAGAGGAGGAGAGAGAAGAGCAATGGCGATGATGGTGGTGGTTTCATTGTTTGAGAGTGAGCTTAGAAGAGTGTGAAGTACCAAGTGTTGAGTGTAGGGTAATGCAACGTTGTAAACTTGTAAGAAGGATCAGATTTGGAAGTGTCTGACTGTTGGAAGTTGAGTTTATACTCTCAGACTTCAACATTATTACAGAAGTGCACTTTGCTTGTTTCATCATGAACGAACGTCTGGACCAAAGACAGCTGTCGTGAGATTAGTGTCTGATGAGGATAATTAGGGTGGGATAATGATCAAAGCAGCAAAGGGTATATAATTAGAATTAGTCTTGTTGAGGCCACATGTGTCATCTAAAAATGAAATGCAAAATCTGCTCAAGATTTTCTGTTAAATATAGTCACACTCAGTCACAGCTGATTAACAAATGAATTTAAGTAATAAATAATTCATTTCAAAATAGCTCTCTTTTAAAGGGTATAAAACCAAAATTATTTTCAGCTGGACTTGAGTGGTTTCCAGCTCCTTTCCGTCTCTTTTTTCTGGGGACACTTTTTTTTAATCCTTACTTGTTAAATAACTCAACCCTTCTCGGATTTTGGAAATTCACATCTAGATTTCATGAAACAGACACTTGCTAATAATCTTTTGTTCATAATTTGAAGAGTAAACGACTTTCATTATTTAATGAGACTCTACCGTCTATAAATTTTTAAAATATTATTTTATTATCCAAATTTATGTTCTGTTTCTGATTCTAACATCGTTGAGACCCCATATTATCACAATTCTCTTCTTTAATCATCACTCACCAAAATCCCTTAAACTCTATTCACACCGATCCCGTCAATTATCAACAATCGAGCAATTATGATTTATGCGGTCGTCTTTTCTAAGTCAAATTTTGATTAATCCTAATCGACAAAAGACTTATCGATCTCCCTTCTTCAAAATTTCTAACAGTCTGGATCGAGTTTGCTCTTTATTCGTTATCGGAATATAAATTTACGTATAAAATGGTATTTTAAAAACTTGTTGGTGAAAAAATGTCAATAAACTTTTATTTGGGTGGGAAAAAGTCATCAACTCTAATTTGAATTGATGAGTTGATTATGCAGGTGATACTTTGCTTTCTATTTACACATCAAATACAAAAAGAGGAAAATCCATGGACAGGAACCACATCAGTATGCTTTGTTATTTAAAGTTCCCTCGCTATTAACTACTTATTTTTTTATTTTCTGGGGAACTAAAAGAATCATCATAATTTCCAGGTTGCAAGGAACCCACTATGATTTGTTCATCACCGGTTGCAGAAACTATTCAGTCTTTGACTCAAGAATCAAGATGCCTTCAACTTTAAGATGCATGTTTGTGTAATTCATTTACCATCTAAACCTTAAAAAAGAAAGAAAAAATTTACTTGGGAAAGATTTTTTATTTTTTGTAGGTAACTGAGATATCTAAATTCAAATTGGAGTTTGTCTAATCCTCAGAGTCACGGAACACCCTATAAATCTAATAGATCAAAGTAATTACACAAATGTGATAAATACCTATTATGTGACTAAAAAACAAGATGTCATGGATATAACTAACCCCAGTAGTTAAAGGGTTTACCATCCGGCGGCCACGAGAGAGGTTTACTTGGAAAAGATTTGCTATCAAAACTTTCAATTTTCTTTTTAAATTTTATTTATAACATTGTTAGTTTCTGTACAAAATTTAATATATATATATATATATAATTTGACTATTTTTTCCAACAAGGGCTTCCAGGACCACATTTTTTAAGTGGTGAACAACGGTAAAAATCCGTGGACTCTGTAGTCATGTGACCGTTGGGGACTATTTGATCTGTTTGTTCGTATCAGTATTTTCTCTTAAAGCAGGTAAAGGGGCCAAATCCTTGTCGATATCTGCTTAAGTCCTTTTCGAATGAATCGAAAGAGACATATTAACAAGCAGATTCAAGGAATTCCCATGAAGTTAATGCAACAATCGCGCATGAAGCTGAGAAAAATGGACAGGAATTCTGTAATTTGATTCATTTTCTACTTTTTCATTTTGTAGAAGTGATATTACATCCTATTTTGCAATGATACTGTTCACAGCAGCTTAAACCTTACACACTGAATTTTCACCACTCATATAAAAGAAAAGATGATCAATGCAAACCATTCAAAACTCCTTGCAGGTCCATATGGAGATAAATGCTAGTCCACTTTCATGGGAAGTATAGTGACAACTAAACAATTGTATTTGTATACCAATGATCTGAATCCAAAATCTGGACAACTTCAGAAAACTCAGCAGTCTATGGAGATGCAGTTTTGTGCAACGGTTGAGCCATCGATTGGCCTCACAAATGGATTGATCTTGACCCACACAAGAGAGAAAACTGAAGCCAACAGCACTGACCATAAAACGACAATGGTTGGAGTTCTATTTTGGCGACCCATGAGACCCTTGAGGAATGGATATAGATGGAAAATCACCCAAAAGGCGAAGAACACCTTTCCAAAAAGGGGTCCCCATGCTTCATATCCTTTGTTCAATGCATCAGAGAAACCAGCAACGACACCTACCATGTTGACAATGATAAGAGTAGTTGGGGGGATCAAAAGTGTTGTCCACTTGATGATATAGAGCTCCCCAAATTCTGCATCGTCAGCTGCTTTTGCTGTGACAGTGAAGTTGGTGTCAATTCCTGCCAGCATTTTTAGAAATCCTTGAAAAACGGCAAAAAGATGGGCTGAAACACCTCCAATCACCCAAAACTGCTCATTACGCCACAGGTCCTCAATGCTGACACCACTCCATCGCAGTTCAAGCACACTGGTCAAAATGATGGAGATGAAGAGGCCAAGAAACAGGGCACTTGCCAAGTTTGAGAGCTGAACAAGTAAAAGTGTAATTAATTTAAGTTCCAAGTTCTCTACATAAAGCTAACTATTTCAAACAATGTTTGATGCTCAATGAACATATTATTCTAGTCTTCTCATGACATGCTGTGAAAAGGGATACTGAAGGAAATTACCGTTGGTATAATAAATTTCCCAGTGAGAAGGCAAATTGCGGGCAATGAACAATAAGCAATAAGAGGGAGGGAAGTAAATGGATAGACAATGGTGTTAATATATGCCAGTCTTTGCAGCCATCTGAGGCGGCCTGCTCCGAATCCATACCAGAGCGGACAGTGTCTACTCAGAAAAATCTCCACTGATCCAAGAGCCCATCGGAGCACCTGGTGGAGCCGATCAGAAAGATTGATGGGTGCTGATCCTTTGAAGGCAGGCCTTAAGGGCATGCAGTAAATTGATCTCCATCCTCGGCAGTGCATCTTGAAACCTGTTAAGATATCCTCAGTGACCGAACCATATATCCAACCAATCTGAGAGAAAGAAGACACAAAACAAAGATCTGAATTAGTCCATCGAGTGGGTGAAATAGCTTTGAACCGAGACTATTAAGTGCACATAACATCCAACGAAAGAGTTGTGCAACAGCAAGAACAAGAAGTCCACCTCTTTTCCCCACTCAGTCTTCTCTTCATAGCCACAGCTAATGACATGAATTGCTTCCTTGATAAGTGTTGAGGGATTGACAGAATCGGGTACTCCTCCATTTTCCATAAGTGTAGATTCAATGAAGACAGAAGATAAGCCAAAAGTCTTCTCGAAGCTCATCTGGGAGATTAGCATTGACCTCTCATGCTCATCGTAATCTGCAGGAGAAAGACCAAGCGTATACAATAAATTTATAACTCTTTGAAATATTAGTCTAACTTTAATTGCCTATAAAATTCGGACTTACTATCAATCTCCTTAAGGTTAAAGATGGCAGCATCTAATTCTTCACGTTTTGCATCTCGGTAAACCTCTGAGAGATCTTTAGTGGTCTTCTTCTTAGAGGGGCAGCAACAGGAGCAGCAAGATGACGAATTCTTGGGTAAGTTGGGCATTGTAGGAGGTCCATAGCCATAAAGAGCTTGCCTGTAGAACATACAACCTGTCCCCACATAAACTGGTCCTTGGATTCCATCCAGTCCTTTCATGTTAACCTGAGATTTGAGTTCAATGAATAATCAAGAATGAGAAGGCTCAGACTTCAGCTACTTATGAAGGTTTCAAGATCATAAGGAATTTGCCACCCATAATGAAGTTAATGGTTTTAGCATTTACTGAGGGTTTTTCTGGTATCTCTAAAATATATGCAGGTAGGAATATGGTAAAGGGAAAAAAATTTCAATGTTCTAAAGGATTAAAGCGAACATATTTTGAGCTGAACCTCAACATAACTGATGGCTAAAATCCAAATATGTCCTCGTTGGTTTATTTCACTGAAATTATTGCCAAAAAAAAAAAAAAAATTCCAAAAGCAGAAAACTCATTATGTAGCTTGATGTAGCAGTGAAAAGTAATTAGCTGATAATTTTTCATAAAGTGAAAATTTATACTCAGAATGCATTTCTGATTATTGTAAAAACAATTGCAAAATTCTATCACTGTTTTCTTCTATAGAAAGATAATATATAGATTGAATTAAAATTTATACCCAGTATGACTACTAGCCTATATTAATGAGAGAATGAGCCAGCTTGAAGCTTACATCGAAGAAAACTGTGTTGCGATTGGCATATCGATCACTCCTATCTATACCGTCAAACCTCTGGGGGAATTGCACATAACAAACATCTCGACCAACTTGTGGGTCCATCATAAAGCACATTGCCTCTCTAACCGCCTTGCTATTGTTAACATAGTGATCACAATCAAGATTGAGGATGTAGGGAGCATTTGTGAGAACTGCCGAAACTCTTATCTGTTTGAAGCCATTCATTTAAATGTAAGTATATATGACATCAAAGTGTCTAATGAATATTAATAATCTTAAAGTTTTCACATACAAGAGCATTTTCAGCACCAGCTTTTTTGTGATGTTGGTAGCCAGGTCTCTTCTCTCTGGAAACATAAACCAGTCTAGGAAGTTCATTTCCCTCAATGTCGCGAGCACCACTATGTCCAAGGAAAACCTGAAAAGGGTTGAAAGAGGCCTTGTGTCAAAATTTAACCTTAAACTGTGTGAAGTTCTTTGAGAGGAAAACTTATATGTACATATCAACGCACACAGACTGGTAGCAAATGAATGCTCACACATTTAAAAACATGTTTCCACAGTTTCTAGAAAAAGTCAAACAAACCATTAGCAATTGTTGTATACTTGAAGATCATAACAGTACATAGTTAGTGAAAGCTTTGTCCTTAAAATATATGATGCTTAAATCACACATTACACTTCAGGAAAGTTTAATGAATCTTTGAAAAAATTAATGCGGACACTCATTATTTGAGAAGCATGACATTATCAATATACCAATTAGTTTTTCCCTTCAAATTATCACATTCCAGCATTCAACAAAAAATGCAAAATTAATAATTAATACTAATATAGATAACTAAAACATAGAGAAAAGTTAACCTGAATCATGCCAGGGTGGTCGCGGGTGTTATTTCCTGGCCAAGATGTTCCATCTTGCATAGTCCATCCTTCTTCAGGTGTTTTCTGAGCCTTTGCAACTAAAGCATTAACTCTAACTTTGTATTCTTCATAATCTCTCTGTAATCAAAGATAAATAGAACATAAGAAAGGCTTCTCTCACTTGTAATACATAAATAATTCCAATATTTAAGTGGCACGAGCATTCTAGAGTTATAGCCAGATTTAGCTTAAAATGCTAACTTTCATTGCTCTGCGCTCTTTTACAAAAGATGGTTGCACTTTGTCCTTCAAGTAATCAATCTTCTGTGAGAAGTAGAACTCAGGTGCCCGTGGTTCAATTGCATACTTTTTGCAGAATGGAACCCACTTCCTTGCAAAGTCGGCTGTTTCTACGAGAGACTCAAATGAAAGCATGGCAGCACCATCATCAGATACATATCACGAGACTTTATCCACTGGGTAGTCCAAAGCAAGGATGGAAAGCACCGTATTGGCGGTAATCAAAGGAGGTTCTTTCAATGGATCAACAGTACTCACAAAGAAATCTACAGCAGCAAGCTGAGAGGGTTCACCCTCTCTTTCAAACCTGGCATGACAACAAATACAACCACCTTATCTATACATTCAACATGAAAACAGCTAATCATACAGANCTCTAAAATATATGCAGGTAGGAATATGGTAAAGGGAAAAAAATTTCAATGTTCTAAAGGATTAAAGCGAACATATTTTGAGCTGAACCTCAACATAACTGATGGCTAAAATCCAAATATGTCCTCGTTGGTTTATTTCACTGAAATTATTGCCAAAAAAAAAAAAAAAAAAAAAAAAATTCCAAAAGCAGAAAACTCATTATGTAGCTTGATGTAGGAGTGAAAAGTAATTAGCTGATAATTTTTCATAAAGTGAAAATTTATACTCAGAATGCATTTCTGATTATTGTAAAAACAATTGCAAAATTCTATCACTGTTTTCCTCTATAGAAAGATAATATATAGATTGAATTAAAATTTATACCCAGTATGACTACTAGCCTATATTAATGAGAGAATGAGCCAGCTTGAAGCTTACATCGAAGAAAACTGTGTTGCGATTGGCATATCGATCACTCCTATCTATACCGTCAAACCTCTGGGGGAATTGCACATAACAAACATCTCGACCAACTTGTGGGTCCATCATAAAGCACATTGCCTCTCTAACCGCCTTGCTATTGTTAACATAGTGATCACAATCAAGATTGAGGATGTAGGGAGCATTTGTGAGAACTGCCGAAACTCTTATCTGTTTGAAGCCATTCATTTAAATATAAGTATATATGACATCAAAGTGTCTAATGAATATTAATAATCTTAAAGTTTTCACATACAAGAGCATTTTCAGCACCAGCTTTTTTGTGATGTTGGTAGCCAGGTCTCTTCTCTCTGGAAACATAAACCAGTCTAGGAAGTTCATTTCCCTCAATGTCGCGAGCACCACTATGTCCAAGGAAAACCTGAAAAGGGTTGAAAGAGGCCTTGTGTCAAAATTTAACCTTAAACTGTGTGAAGTTCTTTGAGAGGAAAACTTATATGTACATATCAACGCACACAGACTGGTAGCAAATGAATGCTCACACATTTAAAAACATGTTTCCACAGTTTCTAGAAAAAGTCAAACAAACCATTAGCAATTGTTGTATACTTGAAGATCATAACAGTACATAGTTAGTGAAAGCTTTGTCCTTAAAATATATGATGCTTAAATCACACATTACACTTCAGGAAAGTTTAATGAATCTTTGAAAAAATTAATGCGGACACTCATTATTTGAGAAGCATGACATTATCAATATACCAATTAGTTTTTCCCTTCAAATTATCACATTCCAGCATTCAACAAAAAATGCAAAATTAATAATTAATACTAATATAGATAACTAAAACATAGAGAAAAGTTAACCTGAATCATGCCAGGGTGGTCGCGGGTGTTATTTCCTGGCCAAGATGTTCCATCTTGCATAGTCCATCCTTCTTCAGGTGTTTTCTGAGCCTTTGCAACTAAAGCATTAACTCTAACTTTGTATTCTTCATAATCTCTCTGTAATCAAAGATAAATAGAACATAAGAAAGGCTTCTCTCACTTGTAATACTTAAATAATTCCAATATTTAAGTGGCACGAGCATTCTAGAGTTATAGCCAGATTTAGCTTAAAATGCTTACTTTCATTGCTCTGCGCTCTTTCACAAAAGATGGTTGCACTTTGTCCTTCAAGTAATCAATCTTCTGTGAGAAGTAGAACTCAGGTGCCCGTGGTTCAATTGCATACTTTTTGCAGAATGGAACCCACTTCCTTGCAAAGTCGGCTGTTTCTACGAGAGACTCAAATGAAAGCATGGCAGCACCATCATCAGATACATAGCACGAGACTTTATCCACAGGGTAGTCCAAAGCAAGGATGGAAAGCACCGTATTGGCGGTAATCAAAGGAGGTTCTTTCAATGGATCAACAGTACTCACAAAGAAATCTACAGCAGCAAGCTGAGAGGGTTCACCCTCTCTTTCAAACCTGGCATGACAACAAATACAACCACCTTATCTATACATTCAACATGAAAACAGCTAATCATACAGAAACTTCTTTTTTTTTTTTTCTGTTACTAGAAACTTATAGCTTTCACAATGAATACTGTTAGCAACTTGTCTGAGAGTTTGCATTCAAGAAGGTATACCTTGCAGATAGCCTATCAGGATATGTTTCCCTGTTAATGGGAGTCCATTTAGGGAACTGATCCAACACCCAGGAAAAAGCAAACCAGATCTCACAAATAACAGAAGTGAGCCAGAGACCAAAAGCACTATCAACAGGATTTGTCACTCGGTAATGGAAGAAAAGACCCAGAATGATCAGTCGCATGATTATCACAGTTCTGTATGGTGAGAGTTTGCTTTTTGGAAGTGGAACTATAGTTGAAAGTGGCTCTGCAGCATCTGGGGACCTGCAAAAAGCAATCTCAATAATGGAACGGATTTTATTTAAACCGTAGCAAGTCAAATTGATCCACCTCTAGAACATGATGCCAACACAAAAATTCAATACTGCATGGAAGATGTTCAATATTTCTTTGACAATTAGATTGACATTAGACCTAACTATCTGCTTTATCACCAATTCACAGGCCAAAAAACTATTCCAAGACACCTAAGTTAAAATGTAGGAAAAACACGAATATCTAACAAAACTCTACCTTGCAGACCAAGAAACAAAATACCAAAAAAAAAAAAAAAAAGAAAAGGAAAAAAAAACCTGCTTTTCTCCCAGTATTTAACTCCATGAACATATTACAAACTGATAGATATTACCAATAACGTGCAAAATATTACTATATACAAAAATGCAATGCAACAGCTACTTGATATTCCTTTTAAATACTCTTGTTGAAATGCCAAAGTTTCTGATCATAACTATATATCAAGATTAACCAATACATCAATGCTTTCATACAATTTTCTTTCCTTTGATTTTACCTGATAAAAATATCAAATATAACCACCCAGAAAAGTCTGAATCTTTAACCAGTGAAAGAGGGTCAGTGTATATAAAACTTTGTTTCTAGAGTCATCCACCTTTTCATTTCTGACCTAGAAGATCCTAACAGTAACCATTGTTATTTATTTTCCTACCTACTTTATCTGATATATTTCATATTCCTGCTCTGATTTAACAGTGTTAATCTTATACTTACTGCTGCTTTTCTTCCATCTGCTGCTCTTGTGGGATTTCAGCCGCCTCCTTTTCAACCTTAGGTGCACTCTTCTTCTTCTTGTTCTTTTTATCCTTCCAACTCTCCACTCTATTTTTCCAAATTGGATTCCCGGATTCATCATTATATTCTTCATGGAAACACCAGATTAGACCGCCAATGACAATCCATTAAAAAATTGGAAAAAAGTGTCAAGCATGATGCAAGAATAGAAATCAAAATTACTTACCACTGTCCACCGTAGATACGCTACTCACATGTCTAGCATGAAGTCCAACATCCTGTACAGACTAAGTGAAGGGTAAAAAACTGTAGGGATCCAGTTATTCTGAACCTTTATGTATGAAAATCATAGCAAGAACCTCAAGCTGGTAAAAAACTAATATTTCTACCATCAGGACATGCACATGCATTGGAGAGCCATATGAAGACAATCATACCTGAGAATCACCAAGATGAGCGGCCATTGTGAATTGATTAGCAGATACCTTTGTTTCAGCATCATCTAGCAAGTTTTCTGGAGAGTTCACAATCATGCAATTGGCTTAGCATATTGAATAAGGAGAGAATCATGCAAATGTCTTAGCATATTAAATAATGAAAGTCAATCAAAAGAAAAATTATTTGCAATGTAAAAAACAGCTATCAAAAGGAAGATTTTGACTTTCATTCTAGAAAATATCCCTAACAAGACTTGGTATCAATTCACTGCTTATGTTCATTTTTGATCCTTGAAGAAAGAAAGTTCTCAAAGATGATTAAGAGAAGTAAGTGATGTTTGAACATTTTCTTCCTTTCCTTTCATGCTTCACAAGAATTCAACAGATTATTAGGAAAATTGACTAAACCCCCTAGATTAGATAATGAAAATCTTTGATCCTGAACTTAAAGTGCTTGAACAATCAATGGTTTTAGTTTCTTACCAATTTGTACATTCACCATTGCTAATACATTTCTATATAATCATTTAAGATATTCTTAGTGTAGTTAATAAAACCCCAAATAACAAAAATTGCTAGTCTCAAACATTACTTAAATCAGAATGGACAAGAATCTAGAAATAAACCAGCACAGCAATATGAAATCAAGTGAACCCACTTCAAAAAATTAATATTGAGAACTTTAAAAAATTATATTTACCATCATAAGTAGTTCCACAGCGCAAACAAGCTTTGCGACCATCCTTGATCTCGTCATCAAAACACGCCTTGCAAATAGGGAAGCTACACTCATGGCAAGCCACAAACGCCTCCCCATTAGCATTAAGTCCCACTTGATCACCACAAGTGTTGCACACAGGCACCCCAGATTGCATCATCCTGAACCAACTTCCCAAAACAACCCCAATACTAGAATTCCTGCTTGGAGCCTCGTTTTGTTGTTGTTTTTATAAATAAAGACCCCAAGCAAAGCTAGGGAGGTGGTAAGGCGTTTGTTGAGAAAAGATGGTGGTGGCATTTTTGTAATGGTAAATAAGGAGGTGGTGGTTGGCAGGTTTATGGAAAGGTTGAGGTGTTGGTGTCAAACAGTCGAGATGTTTTACAGGGAAAGAGAGATGAGAAGCAACGTCTGCGTTGTTGTTTAGGTATGAGTGAAAGATTTGAAATATTGCGGGAAGTCTAAGTAAGGTTTTGGTTGAGCCGGGTACATCTTTAACTAACATACAGTATCTTCTTTGTCAAGTTCAGTCTTATTACATTTATGTATTATTTATGTCATTGTATATATACAGTTTTCATTCACTCAGCTTACAAAAACGCCCTCATGGCTCGATGCTTGATAGATTTGCAAATGGGCATAAATTTTCATGGCCTGACAGGAGCTGTAATTTGGTCCGACTGAAAGAAAAAATGAATAATAAAATGAAACTTGAAGTAGAAACTGGCAGGAATTTCAGTGTTTGGCGTTGTATTGTACTGAAAGATGAATCATTTGATTTGATGATGTGGGCACTGCATGGGCATGGTGTGCATTGGAATTCAAGATTAATGGAAAGTATCGTAATGGAGTAAAGGGGATTCATTTACTGCCTCATGGCCAGAAATTGACAAATTCAGGTTCAGTGTTAATGACCGGATTAGTTATTAATAGCTATATTCAGATCATGGGTGTCTTTTCCTTTTAATGATATATGTTTTAATAATTAAAAACAATGACCTTGGTTCTTGACTAATTAATCATTGGCCATATCATATACATAAATTTTCCCACATTTGGTAGAAATAATCAGAACAAAATCAAACTAACTCTTAAAGTAAGCAATTTGGTTACCATGTAATTTCATTATAAATAAAAAGATACAAACAAAATCTTCACGTCTTCACCTGATTCTTAGGATATATATTTCATTCTACTACAAAAATCCCATAGAGGGATGGATTCACCAATTGTGTATTTAGAAGATAAAAGCACAACTGTATCTAATAACCATGTTACATGATATATCACTCTTAATGATCAGATTCAGCAGTACAAATATTTACGTCTACCAGTCATTGCGTTGGGGGGTTTGTTCAGTAATAAGATGTTGTCTGGAATTGCTGCCTAACCTTAATGATCAGATTCAGCAGTACAATATCTATGCAGAGTTGCTTTCAGATCAACAAGCATATTCTTCAGAAACTATTTTGACACCAGGGGAAACATAAAACGATATTCTTCTGGTACAAAACAAGTGGGTCATGCTCTCCAGGAATATCAATTACAGGAGTCATGAATGCAGCTCTGATCTATGAAATTGTATAGACCTTAACCACTTTGGAAGTGTCACAGACAACAAGGTTCTCTGATTCAGTTGGAGAGGTGCAGAGCCAATTTACCTGCCATAGTGGGAAGTCCAAGATGAAAAACTTTAATAAAATGTTAAGTATTAAAAGCTGACCACCAACACCACATTCAAAGACAAAATGAAAGCTTACCTTTCTGTTCAAATTGATATTCATATGTAGAAGATCACTGTTCGTACCAGTCTGCCCTGTACGAGGAAATCTGGAGCAATCCCAGACCTTCACTGACTTATCATTCCCCCCTGAGATTATGTACTTTCCCTTTTCCCCAAACAAAGAAAATGCCACACAAGAAGCAGCAGCAGTATGGCCACCCAAAGAGTAATCCAGATGCAACCTCTTCCCACCATTTAGATCCAGAGTTTCCATTTCTCCGGCCAGAGGATTATCTTTTGGTATTGACTGAGATCCCTTCCAGGCTTTTGTGGAATTTTTTGACCTGATTGTAGAAAGTTCTGACTCAATATTAACCACATCAATGACACCATCACCCCTAGCAACCACGCATATCTTGTCTGTTTTGTCTAACATATCAACATCGGGAACTGCTATTGCATGAACAAAAGCAGGGTTGTAACATTGCCCAGTGTTACTACTATTCATGTCTGGCAAGCCTGCAATAAGAAAAACCTCATAAATGTTCAACCACCACTAGGTTAAATCTTGGACATATGTCGTGAATTTGATTTATCCATATTGCTTTTCAACCTTTTTACCAGGATAAGTCATGTATGAATTTTGTTATTACTTAAGACCTGCACAACACTTGAAGCAAATGAAAAGACGATTCAGTTGACAATATTAGGTCACATGCTGCAGGGAAAAGAGGCAGGACCATGGTAGAGAACCCTTCAGTTTAATTTTTTTCCTTTTTAATATATATATTTCTTAGCAGGGTTCACTGATAGAGGAATTTTTACACTACCTCTTGAAATTAATGTTTGCCCAAAGCTCAAGAGATAACCCATTAAAACACAATAAAGATGTAGAAAGTGAATAACTAGACAATAGAGATAAACAAAATTAAGACATATACATACCAAAATCAATGATTTTGAGCGGACGCCCCTTAGAGAAATCCCACATGACAAGCTTTGAATCTAGACCTCCAGTAATGACTGCAATTACCCAAAGAGATATAATTTCAAAAAGAATTACAGACTGAAATGCATGTTGAAATAAATATGAATGAAATCATTGCACAAATACAAAACTCCTGCATTGTTACTCAAATCTATCCAACTTGCTTATAACAGAGAGGTACAAACTTTACCCTTAATTTATCAAGTTTCAACCAGCAGCCAGAAATGTATAAATTATGCATAATGCAACAATCTTTTACAGGCATTTGATATTCCATATAAAAGCATTGTGTTCAATGAATTTTCAGCATATAGCTTCCAAGTTCACTCATAATGGTGTTAAGGTAGTATACTAAATAAACATGTGGCTTCTTAGACACAGATGCAAGAGACAAAAGATTAGACCAGCAAAGTTAATGAATATATGCCATCACATAATCACTTCCAAGTATTTTCAGTCCATAAAATTTGAGTTGAGACATGCAATAACATACTATTCAAGCCTTGATTGAATTCAGTTTCGGACAAGACCTAATGGTGGTTTCAGGCTTCCATGATATTGGAGTGGTTCCTTATTTTACAAGACAACAAGAGGAACAAATAGTCCATATATATTAAATAGGGGCATGGCAGTAATTGGTAGCTCTTGCCATAATTTATGCTACAGGATCATTACTTATGATTTCCTCTCGTAACACAAGAAGTTTCTATCACAGTGGTGAATGGTGGGTATTTTCTCAAATAGCTCCATATCGCCAAATCTAACATAAATAAGGCCAATGATGTGTTGGCTCAGTGGCAAACTGTAACAGCACCTGCGGTGTGCTGAAATGTCAGAATATAGTCAAAAACTATGCACACTTTATGCTGAAGAAGTCTTGGCTTAGTTGGGGAAATAAGTGTTCAATTCTCAGTAATCGCAAAAAATATAAAATGCATCACAATAAGACCTAGGAGACATCCAAACACATTTTACCTGTTATTCCAACTAACTGTTACAATACTGTTCTATCACTGACACAAACATAAGAGAGAGAAGGATATAGAAATTTCACTTCAAAAAATATTATAAAAACTTAGAAAGGAATTTCACCTTCCCAAGGTTTCCAAGGAATGAATTGCACAGTACTGCAGATCTATTAAGTAGAGTTAAGGGGACAAAATAATGACACAAGTAGCTAAATAAAAGAGATTCTTGGTTAAAACTAAAAATGAAAAACAAAAACCACGAACTTCAAACCGGAAATTGAGCATACACAGAATAGGAAGGTGGGTTCCGTAGTAATTTAGACACACTCTCAGACATTTAAACGAAATTACAATTTAAAATGCACACACACATACACACATATATATGGAGATATGTATTTATGTATATACAGAGGTAATATTATTGATAAACTGAGCACATGTTTCACACTTATACAGAGCATATAAGAAGTCAAGTTGAGAAGTTAAGCATACAAAATAACCATAAGGATACACTTGAATGGCCAGCCCTCAATGTTTTATAAAGACAATGTTGGCGAGTATCAATGATCTGTCATGGGAATGATTTACAGCAGGCGAACTCATAAACTGCCACCCAAGAAAAAACCAAATCACTGAATTCATAAATCTGCATACCTTAACATCACCACCATCATCAGCACAAGCAAGAAAAGATGACTTAGTGTTGCATGCAATCTGCATATAAAAACAGGTTTAGGATTAAAGATTTTTCAATATATTGGTATATGATAAAAGACGAGACAATGTCTTACAAACAATCAACTCTCAAAACAAAATAAATTAAGGAAGTACAACAGAATCAGATAATTCTACATTTATGTATTACCTGATCTATCTCCTCTTTGTTATAGTTGTAGCACTCTAATGCCTTCCATGAAGCTCCCTATAATTGCATGATGAATGATATGTAAGAGAAAATGTTGTGAATACTATTGATGAATCATAAAAATGACTAATTACAAAATATATGTATATATATGTAAGTAGCAAAAAAGGAACAAATGGAAACTCATTAAAAAGGAAAAAATGCTCAACATTGCGATTTAGCCAAAAAGGATTACCATTCGGACATCAAAAGACTTGACTTCCTTTCCAAAGGAAGCATAAATAAAATCTTCATTCCCTGTGTCAAGCAGCAATCATTAAGCAGATTTTCGAAACCCAACAAACCTGTGTTGCAAAGATAGATATCATTTGCGCTTTAGCCTTAAAACAATGTTCCAAAAAATCCTTACTTTATAGTTTAAAACACAAGACTATAAGATTCTTCCAAAAAATGCCACAGCTCAAGCATGTTGTAAAAATAATTTTTCAGTCATGGATTCTTGTACAACGTATTTACAATAAAATTAAGCTAATAAGTGGAAACGCTTTCGACTGTAAAAATACATTTTGAAATAGCAGAAACGGCTTTTGCATTTTTTTTTTATAGTGATTCACTGAAATCAATCTAATGCTTTTTGTGAAAAATCAAAACTTCGAATGTTTTTCTTGAAGAATTAATTGATATTACTTTGCTAAAACGCATAAAAATAGTAATTGAGGTGCTCTTTGGGAAAGCACTTGATAGGCACTTTTCTAGAAAGCACTTGCACTCAAAAACACTTTCTACTATCACTAATACGCTCATAATAACTATTAACGTATTCACCACAACTAACAAGAAAATTCAGGCAGAGATTAGAGCAAACAATTCATGAGCTTAGAATCACAATAATAGCAAATGAATAAAGCAGGCAACAACATACTAAAGAAACTCACCTGACTTAAGACATAATGAAGTAACCGGTTCGTTTCCAACTTCAATGATAAGCTGAGCGTCTTTGCATCGTAAATCAAACCAGCAAATGCAGCCATCCTAAATTTTTCATTAATCAACCAAATAAAGCAAGGTAAAAGTGATTATTATTAAATAATCTATTGAAACCAGTAAGAGAGTACCTCGCCGGCAGTAACGATAACGCCGGGGCGCTCACGTGAGGCGATGCAGCACGTGGCCGTGGCCGTGTGACCTCTCAATCGCCGTGGCTTCAGTTCTGCATCCCCCATGCCTTAAAGTCAGTTGCTTGTTTCAGTGTTCGTTGGGTTGGTGTTCTTCTGTTTTGCTGTTGGGTTTGGGCCAATTTTATACCCACCTATTGTCTACTCAATCCAATCCAGCCCAACTCAGACTACCAAAAGGAATAATACTTTTCGAATATTTTTAGTGCAATTAATATTAAAAGATCCTACAAGGGTGTATAAAATAAGAGTAAACGATTTTTTACCACCAATTTTTGCCTTAATGACATTTTTCTAAGCAAAAAATTTCAAAATACCACTTTCTCACCCAACATTTATATTTCGTTAATACTCAAAACACATTTCTCTTTCTCTGTTGGCATTTGATGAGTTACCAAGAGCCAAGGTAATAGGGGTTTTGTAGAGTGAAGACCGATGGATCGAATGGTGGTAATCGATTAAATACTTGCTCTCGGAATCAATCGAAAATCAGTTATAAACAGGAAACTTTAACTTTACGATAGCCAACAATCGACGAGAAATCAGGTGCCAAAGTTAGATGATGGAGACAATTTTTGCCACCAGAATCAGCTTGAGGTAGTAGTGGAATATTAACTTTGGGTGAAAAGTGGTATTTTGAAACCTTTTGGGTGAAAAGTGTCATTAAGGAAAACTTTGGGTGGGAAAAGTTGTTTACTCTTTTCAATATCATATATCATTATCCACCAACAATGCTACGGACACCGATACTATGCACCAAATTATTACACCGAATTACGTATCCTATGACTCAGACCAGCCACGTATCCCATGAACCAATATTTTGTGAGTGAATGATCGTTAATCAACTATGGACGGTCGTTCACTGTTATTGAACGGAAGTCCATTATATGTGGACGCCCGTTCATATGAAATGAACGATGGACTCCCGTCTAGATCTGGGCATTTGGAACTGGGCCCAAAAGCCCAGCTCCAAAACTCGGTCCTAGGACTGGTCCTTGAGAGGACTGGACCTAGGAGGCCTGGTCCCAAAACGGGACCGGGCCTAAGGAGGAGGGCCCGAGCCCTCCTCCGGTCCCAGGCCTGGGCCCAAAAAATTTTGTATTTTTTCAATATAGTCCCCTACCAAATTACATAAAACCCCCTGTTAATTTTAAATTAAATATAAATTATGAGAGCTAAAATGAAATTTTACAAAATTTATAAAAAAAAAAATCTTCCAGGTCTAAAAAATTTATAAAATTTATAAATTTTACCCCTAAAAAATACTAAAAACCCCCTATAAAATTTTGTTTTGCCCCTAAAATATAAAACAAATTAAGGGGAGAAAATAAAATTATCCAAGCCCCATGGGACCGGTCCTAGGCCTATGGGACCAGTCCCGACTAGGCCTAAGGCCTGGTCCGGGTCCTGGTTTTTCTCATGGGCTTGGGACCAATCCCAAGCCCATGAGTGATTGGTCCCATTTGGGACCAGTCCCAAACGGGCCTAAGCCTGGGCCCGCAAGGGATCGGTCCCTGCCCACCTCTACTCCCGTCCATATTACGTGGACGGGAGTCCACATAAAATGGATGCCCGTATGCCCGTCCATACTTAAAAAAATAAAATTTTAATTAAAATAAAGGGATGGTCGTTCACCATTTTTGGACGGCCATCCGTTAATCAAAATTGAAAGTTTATCGCATACTTGTGACCCAAATATGCATTCACCTCTGCCGCGCATAGCAAACACCGATCACAACAACGGTAACAACAGAAGCAGTCGTAGCCACAACCGGCCATTGCAAGTTTGACTTCTTCCATCCATCATCAACAGAGGGTTTAAAATCCCTCACATTCCCATTAAAACCATCCAATGTCTTCTCCTTGAGTCCACTAATCACCGTCTTCGCCTCATCAATCTCTTTCTCCAACTCAGAAATCTTGGCCTCCATTTCCTTGGATTTGCTCTCTGATTCCTTCAAACTTTCCTCCACCGACTTCTTCTCAACCTTCCACTTATCCAATTCAGACTCCAAAACATTAACTTTCTTCTTAAACCCACTAATTTCCCTTTCTTTGTCATCAATTTTTTCCCTCATTCCTCTTCAACTCTCACCCTTTTACTCTTCTCTTCCAATTCCCTCACTTCCAAAGTCCTAACTTTTCTTTCCAACTCCCTCACTTTCTTCTCACTATCAGCTTTCTCACTCTTCAACCCATCAATTTCTTTTCTAATCCCTCCAATTTCACTCCCTTCTCTCCCAGACTCTTCTTCAACTCTGTCACCTCAGCAATCGCCTCATCTTCTTCGCTCATCGCGGTGATCAGGTCACGTTGGAGTCTCAAAACTTTAGTTTCCAATTCAACTGCTCGAGCAGCAATTAATTCGAAAACTTTCTTATCCTCTTTAGATCCTTCAATTTCAATAGTTAGTTTTTTAATTCTCTCCTTCATTTCTCGGTTCTCTTCCTCCAGCGCTTCCGTCTTTCTCGTCAATTCAGCTATTTTGTTGTCTTGACCCAGATCGTAGAAACTCTCTGCCGTTTGATTCTCTGTCTCAGTTGAAGCAAGGTCGTTGAGGATAGTCTCTAGCCGTCCTTTTATTTTATTTACAATTTTATTTTTTTAAGTATGGACGGGCATCCATTTTATGTGGACTCCTATTCATAGTAAATGGACTCTCGTCCATGTGATATGGACGGGAGTCCATTGTTCATTTCGCATGGACGGGCGTTCATATATAATGAACTTTCGTCCAATAACAGTGAACAATCGTCTATAGTTGATGAATGACTGTTCACTCGTAAAATACTAGTTCATGGGATACGTGGCTAGTCTGAGTCACGAACACATAGTTCGGTGTAACAATTCAATGCACAGTATCAGTGTCTGTAGCATTGTTGCATTATCCACTATCCATTGTGCCAAGAAAAATCACTAGGGGTGTAGCATTTTCCTTTGATAAAATGGACCACTAGATGATTCTTTTTCAGTCCTTTATTAATGCAATACAAAAGGCCAAACTATAAAACAAAGGTAGTCCTATGTATGATTTCACAAATACCTACCTATCATCCATCACTAACTTATCAAGAATTAATTAATTTTTGTTCATTTTCATTTAATAATCGACCATTTCTTCCTTTTGTAATAAGAAAAACAATAGATGATAAACATGAATATTTAATGATAATAATTGATTGATTTATTAATCATTTTAATCCAAAGGTGATCTCACAATTGATTTGATATTGTTATTGTGAAACAAGACGTTAACAAATCAAGTATTTAATTAACCAAATTTGACAGAATCAATAAATTTGCCAAGAATCATGGCTTTTGACTTAATCCTCTCCCATTGTTATTTTCCATCTGGTATTTTTTAAAACCAAGAAGGTCAAAAATGGTTGCATGTGAACCAGTTTTGGAGTTTGCATAAATTGGAAGGACATGAAAAAGCTTGTCGTACCTTTTGAATTCATTCAATATTGCTTCTCTATTTAGTTAAAGCAGGAAGTGATGCAGTAGTTAACAAACAAATGGCAGCTAATGTGTAGCTTTCTGAGACCCAAAAGGTGACGAGACCTCTCTCAAAAGGTTGAGACAACCCCATGTATCTATGTTTCTCGGGACTGTAGTGAACACTGAACACAGAAAAATCTTGAAAGGGGTGCATCAGATCAAATGCGTGATACTCTGTACTGTGAATGGGGCTAATTATAACAAAGCTCAAAACGTCCAAAACTGAAATCTTCACAAAAAGTAAGCATAAATACCTACATTTTCCGCCGTGGTTTAAGAAATTCCCGGGATGGTTCAAGAATTCTATAAGAAATACAGAGGAATTCCAAATATATGCATTTTCTGATCTCTTTTCTTCAGTTGATGTGATTTTAAACTTGACTTGATATCAGTAACAGGTTTACATTAATGCAAATAAAGTATGGAAACAAGTTCTAAATTCTTGAGTTTTGATGGCTTCTAAGTTCTAAGCGACATTTCCAAATACCAGTATCTTATCTTAAATCAAGAACCAGCTTTCAAATGTTTTGAATTTTTGAAGTTCTTGTTATCTTATCTATTCACGATAGATTAAATTTGATTTATCTCTTGTTATATTATCATCACCATTACAGCCTTTATATTCAATTAAACCGGAGAAAAAATTATCAAAACAGAGCAGAAATAGCAGCAGTTTTGTAATTATTAAACATGACATCATAAAGCCTGCTACAATTCATCTACACAGAATCCAACTGGACCACGACCATCTAATACAAGGAAAAGCAAAATAAAGAAAAAAAATTAGATTAGACTACCAAACATTCCTAATTCCCTAAGAATAATTAGTTAAAAGAGTTTGATTAGACTGAAGATCAATTCATCTGACAGTACATGCAACTGCATAAGCCCATGATTTGAGATGCTCTTTCATGGCCATTCCATCTTCCAAAGGAGGCATCTTCATGTTCATTTGATAATGTACTTGACTTCCAAACATCTGATACCCACTTGAAGTTGTTTCCTCAAAGTCAAACAACAAAGACTTAGAAGACAACTCATCAGAATCCATGTTCCTATCAAATCCCAAATCAAGTTCTCCAAGAATCTTCCTCCTTTCATGCAACATTCTCTTGCTTCTCCTCTTTCTTCTTCCCGATCTTCTACTCTTTATTTTCTCTTCCGGCTTTGTCAGATCCACAGGCTCCAAATGCAGAACCTGAGGCTCAAGTTCAGGCGCAAATTCTCCACAAACGCAACACCTTTGCCCCAAATTCTGATTTTCTTCAACTTTGATGATGGGATTTTCTGGCTCTTCTTGAACTGTTTGCTCATCTCTGGCGTGACCCGACTGTTGAGTTGTTGAAGACAACACATTGGAGAAGAACCAGAGAGAATCTAGGGTGTCGATGAACTGGGAACAATCCATGAAAATCAAGAAACTCTCAGCATGAGTAAAATTTATAATAACTACAAAATTTTATATGGGGGAGCGTTGTATTTTGCTGCAGAATTTAAGTGGACAGATTCTAATTCTATTTATTGATTGACAGAGTGAACAAGGAATAGAAATATAAGCAGTTAAGCACAAGTACAATTTCC